CAGAAAAACCTATGCAACTCCTATCTGGCCCTCTGTAGCACAGTAATTCAAAGATTTTTTATTTAAAAATCATGTATATACAAAAAAGTCTGACAATGCCCGACCGGCCCTGTGGCACATAGACACCTTATTCTATTATAGCGGTCACCCCGCGATTTTTGAACATGTCTCTTAACTGTAAGAATATACTTATTTTGTGCATATACTTTTTTTTTTAAATAAATGTAGGAATTGTGTTTATGAAGTAACAGCCGCCTTGCACAAATCTTTTATCTTCTAGCACTAAGAGCTCTATAACTGACTTTTCTCAGAGAAAATGTCCATCATTGTTGCCCGTTGGTCCTCGTACAGTTTACAGTCCCATGTTCCTCCGTTTCCAGCCTTCATCACCTTCGCATTCAGCTGTAGTCTTGATGTTAAATCTACTTAAGCATGTAATTCACAGATGGCAGCTTGAACACTGTGCTGCCATCTGTGTTCATTTTTGTAACGTAAGGACGTAAACAGGATTAACTTCCTGCTTCTTTCCTATTTGTGTCTTTTTTTTAAATCACTTAATAGCGATATGTCGCCTGCAAACATTATCCGTCGTTAAGTGAAAGCTGATAAGATAATTATGTTTAATTAAACTGGAAAACGGCGGAAGGAAATGGTTGCGGTATGTTCCGTGGGAATTCCCCGTACGCCACGGAGAGACGAGTAGAGCGAATAAAAGTGAATGAACTCGGGTATACCACGAAAGAAGATAGCCGTTCTTGCTGTAGAGATTCTAACCTCCTAAATGCAAAGTAAGATTTTTAACAACCACATCGCGACTACTCGTTCCTTTGCAATGGCAGTTTTAATCGTCAGCCTACGTATATCAGTTCGACTCACTCGTACCTACGGCTTCGCAGCGAAGACCCGATTATGTGGTAACTATGAAGGAGCCGTAGTGTACTTACTCATGGAGCTGAGCCCTTCTTGAGGAGCCGCGAATTGTGCAGCTACTCAAGAATTTCCCAGCATTTTATGGAACCCAAAGGTTCATTATCGTGTTCACAAGAGCCCTCCACTGGTCCCTAACCTGAGCCAGATCAATCTAATCAATACCATCCCATCCTATCTAAGATCCATTTCAATATTGTCCACCCACCTACGCCTTGGTCTTCCCAGTGATATCTTTCCTTCTGGCTTTCCCACCAATATCCTATATGCATTCCTCTTCTCTCTCATTCATGCTACATGCACTGGCAACCTCATCCTCCTTGACTTTATCATTCTAATTATACTTGGAGACGCGTACAAGTTACGAAGCTCTAATGTACTGTATATGGTATACGAGGTTCTCTCATTGTTGCAACTGTAAAGATTAATCTTCTGCTAATGCGATGACTTGTAATCTGGCAGAGCGTTATCAACATTTCGGCTGAACCTGCTGTCTCTGTGTTCAGGGTAGAAGAGCAAGAAGGGTAAGAGTAGTCTACTTCCTGAATATGGAGGCACTAGATTACTCCGAAACGTGGAATACACGGGGTTACATGCTAGAAAACGTTAATCTTCACATTAAAAAAATATTTGGTCTAAACCTGCCTTAAAGCTACTACAACAATGATGTACGGGGGCTCACATAAATACCATCCACATTTAGGAAGCCCTCACAAATGTCGAGTATTATCATTTGGACACCCTGTATTCCTCCAGCAGGATAGACGGTATAGTGTTCGAGATTTGAAGGGATATCTCCTGAATACAAGTCACAAGTATCAGAGCCGGAGCCGGCTCGCTCTATCGGAATTATATCGAACTGTTGCTAACAGGAAACATGAGTGGGAAGGTAAATTCAAATAACATTTTCTAAACGCGTTCTTTGCGATAATGCAGCAATCACTGGCCATGATAAACTCATATATACTCAGACATAAACACATTAAAATAGGTTCCATAAATGTGTCGTAACTTACAAGTGGATCAGGGATATGTAAAATTGTCATTACATAGAAAATAAGATATTTCTCGGAGGACCAAATCAAACATCCCATTCTGAACTGTCTGATGCTGTCCGACTGTTTGGCCAGGGATTTCAAAGGCACGTTTTGTAGTCGACCAGTCATTTCCTTCTCTAGGGCTGTGAGTTTAGTTGGCCCTTTCCTTTTGTCACGAATCTCTCCGCTACCGAACAACCTATCAGTATCGCTCAGATCACTGCTCCCAAGCAAATTAACTTCAGGGGCCCGAGTAGTCTTTCTTCAGAAGCTAATAGTTTCTCAGCTATTCTAGAAAATTACGAACACTTTATGCTTATGAGAGCCCACTACTGAACCATATGAATCAAGTCCTCAACTTCCAATGTCATTTATTTAAAAATAATTTTAATATTACCCTCCCATCTATGCCTAGGAGACGGGGTGGCGAAGTCGGTACAGAGACTGGCTACGGGCTGGACGACTAAGGCGTCAGAGTTCGAATCCCGGGAGGGTAAAGAATTTTCTCCAAATCGTTCAGACCGGCTCTGTGGTCCACATAACCTTCTATCCAATGGGTACCGGGGGCTCTTTCCCCGGGGGTAAAGCGGCTGGGGAGTGAAACTGACCACTCACCTCCAATTAGTGCCGAGGTCAAGAAAATGTGGATCTATACATCCACTCCCCCATACGCCGTCATGGCGTAGTGCTTAATTCGTTGAGCACATGGACAAATTTACCTTATAGTCTATGCCCAGGTCTTCCTAATAGCTATTTTCTACAAAAACGTATTTATTTCTCTTCTCGCTCACGCATGTTCATCTCCTGCTACTTGAGCTGAACACTGTAGACTTGAGGAGTGGCGCAAATTATGAGGCTTCTCATTTGCTCTTCGTGCTTAGGTCCAAATGTCATCAAGAAGGGAGTGACTGAGAACAACTTAACTAGAATACCACTAAGTGTAATGTAAACCAAGAGTAATTTTCTTAAATTCACCTTTTATTCCCCCCTTGGCACTGCAGCCCCAGTGGGCCTAGGTCTACCTCCATGAACTTCTCCGTTTACATCGGTTTTTATAGATCTTATACATTCGGTAGGACTCCTTGGGCGGGTGATCAGCTCGTCGCAAGGCCTCTACCTGTGCACAAACACAGAAAAACGCACACACACACAAACTAAACATCCATGCCCTGAGTGGGATTCGAACCCGCGATCCCGGTTTCCAAGCGAGCGAAGGCAGTACATGCTTTAGACGGCTCGGCTACCGTGACCGGCAAATTCACCCTTACTCTATACATTCTTCCTTCAACGCTAGAGAGCAAGTATCATACGAAACCGCAGGTAAAAATCATACTCTTGTGTATTTCACGGTCATCTAAAGTTTTTCTTTTAAGTTGGCTGTTTAACGACTGTTATTATCGAGAAGAGGGCAGATGACAGACACGCGCGCGCGTGCGCACGCACACACAGACATTCCGCTGTTGGTATCAGAGATCATGGCGTTGATTTTCTGCTAATTCAGCTTTCCCCTTTCTCTTGCGCATGTCATAAAACAAACTCCGTGGCCTGTAGTCTGCAAGCGAACTATACCGACCGAACGACCGCCGCTTGTCGGCGAAGTTAGTGCCAACTTTAGCGGATAGAGTGTGTCGCGTGGTCAGCGCAACGAATCCCCACGGCCGTTAATTTCGGTTTTCTAGACCAGAGTCGCTATTTCCTTGAAATAGCTCCTCAATTATCCTCACGAAGCTGAGTGGACCCCGTTCCAGACCCACTACTTTTCAGAAAATCTGGTAGCGCCGGGAATCGAACCCAGACCTCTGGATCTATGCGCATGCCATAAGCTATCATAAAATAAAAGAAATGTATTTAGATGTGGTTACTTAACCACGCTGTCGACACCCCACATCACATAGCGTGGAATGACAGAACCGTTGCTGAATTAGGATGTGGAAGGAAAGGGTTGTGAGCAACTGGGGTCCTCGCTCTGTATTTTTTCTCGAGGGACTAGGGAAAATCATAAAATTTTCAGCCAGGACAGCTAGTCTTCAGTTAGAGATTTCAAACCCACCTCCTCTCGAATACAGAGCTCGAGTGTTACCCATCCGACCGCCACGTTCGGTGGGTGGACTTCACCGGAATGAAGTAGGGAGGATTTACATTAAGCAGCCAATGATGTGTAATTTAATGGCCTATAGTTGTGACATTGATCTGGTACATGATCTCGACATGCCCTAGTCTACACCATCTGCTTGTTAAGCGGTAAACAGGGTTGTCCAGCTAAATGTCTTAGGTAACACACATACTTAATCTCTTTCAGACAAGACACGGTGGTGTGTTCCCCGAGGTTAATTTTGAAAGTATCCTTCCTTCTGCCTTTACGTATTTCACAACGTAATATTCATATGTCTGCCGGTCACGGTAGCCGAGCGGTCTAAGGCATGTACTATCTTCGCTCGCTTGGAAACCGTCATCGTGGGTTTAAATCCCACTCAGGGCAAGGATGTTTGGTTTGTGTGTGTGCGTTTTTCTGTGTTTGTGTACAGGTAGAGGCCTTGCGACGAGCTGATCACCCGTCCAAGGAGTCCTACCGAATGTGTAAGATGTAGAAAAACCGAAGTGAACGGAGAAGTTCATGGAGGTAGGCCTAGGCCCACTGGGGCTGTAGTGCCAAGGGGGAAAAAAAATATTCATATGTCTATGTATAGAACACGAAGTTCTGGAAAGAAATAATCTCCTTATTTCCTTTCATACAACACGGACTGCATAGAAAACGACGCGTTGAACAGTTCTTCCACTGTTCGGTATGTAGTCCTGCAGCGGGAACGTGTTTACCGACCCGTTACCTAGCAACGATGGGGGAAATAAACATACAACAATGTGATCTAATATGGATATTTCCAATCTTTACTCCGTCTATCTCAGAGCTGTATGAAACAGATGCAAACACACAATAAACACGACTTCAAGGACATGTGTGGATAACAAAACTATTTTATATGTTATCTGAATTATGAAACGATTATTCACACCTTTTTTCGGATATTTAACCGCCAGTGAACTCTTCGAGGAGGCCTTGGATATCCCTGGCTACACCACACGGTAAACCCCGATGGAAAGAGGATTTATCTCTTTGAGGGGCAGTGTTCGAGGTCAAAGGTTACTTAGCAGCTCATGTCAATCTGCGAGTGTCACAGACTGGAGTTAGTGGACACACAACATGTCTTCCTCACATCGCCACCAAGTCTTGTCACCGAGCCGCAACGCTGTGATGCTCCTGAACAGAGTAAGAAGTGCTCCAAATCAGGTTTATAGGATATAGGGGGTCAAAACACAGGATGTTCTTAAAGTATGTTCACATTATCACGACGCATGCAGTGACGTAATTCATTTTTACTTTAAGTAAATATATGTTACGAACACGAAAGCAAAACGCGGTAAGAAGTGCTTCTAGTCAAGTTAATAGGATATAAAAGGAGTCAGAACATAAGGTGTTTATAAAGCTTTTATGTTATGACGTAAATCAAGGTTGATGGAAATAACTGCAGTTTATTACGAACATGAAAGCGAAACAAGTCAATAATTGCTGCAAGTATATAGGATGTTAACAGGTGAAACACAAGGTGTTTTAAGTGGTCAGTTCAGCTAGCACAATGCGTGTTATGACGTGAAACAAGTTTAGTGAAAATAGATACATGTTAGGAATATTAAGAAATAAAAAAACTTGGCTAGTGCTTCAAGTCACGTTAAAAGGTTATATCAGGTCAAGACACGAGGTGTTTACAAAGTATGTTTAGTTATAATAATGCGTGTTAACAAGTTTAGTGGACAGAAATACATGTTATAAATCTGAACACAAAAGTGCAAGTGGCGCGTTCACACTAACCCAACGAATGTGTAACGTAAATCAGCCGTTGCTAGCATCTTCTGATTCACGGGTCGGTAAAACAGAAACCTGCATTTAGAGGATTGACATTTCATATGTCTCTTTGTTAACTGTCTTACTTACTCATGGAGCTGAGCCCTTCTTGAGGAGCCGCCAATTCTGCAGCTACTCAAGAATTTCCCAACATTTTATGGAACCCGAAGGTTCATTACCGTGTTCACAAGAGCCCTCCACTGGTCCCTATCCTGAGCCAGATCTATCCAATCCATACCATCCCATCCTATCTCTCTAAGATCCATTCTAATATTGTCCACCCACCTACGCCTTGGTCTTCCCTGTGGTCTCTTTCCTTCTGGCTTTCCCACCAATATCTTATACACGTTCCTCGTCTCCCCCATTCGTGCTACATGACATGTCTCTCACTCATCTTCCTTGACTTGATCGTTCTAATTATACTTGGAGAAGTGTACAAGTTATGAAGCTCCTCATTATTGCAGTTTTCTCCAACCTCCTGTCATTTCATCTCTCTTCGGTCCAAATATTCTCCTCAACACCCTGTTCTCAAGCACCCTCAGTCTATGTTCCACCCTTAATGTCAGAGACCAAGTGTTAATTGTCTACATATCTGAATATTATTGGTGTGTCAGAACTTTCTTATTTACGATATAAGAATTAATATATTTGAGTGAACGGTAGAGCAATCCCTGTAACAGGCCGTGGGGGCCCATAGGGTTGTCAAACGTCGAGGCTCCCACATTTTCTAGACAATCTGCTCACAGATGGCGGTGACGTCAGCCTTACGCGTCGGCCGCCCTTTACCCCCAAGAAGATTCCTGGTGCTCATTTGTTAGTGGCTGACACGTTTACTTATCTGCAGTTTATTTACCGACGCTGTCAGTAATACATTATATAGAGACGAAAAGTTTGCCCTGAACCATGAAGTTGAAGTGACACGGAAGGAAGACTGACATTTGCCTACAGGGGCTGAGGATAGTCTGTATCCCGGTCTGGATTCGAACCGAAAACCTCCCGAATACAAGTCAACTTGCTCAGCGCTGGTAATACAGAAACAGAAGGTACGTCATCATAACTAACAATGAAGATTAGAAGAAACAAACATCGAGGATATGGATTCGTATTAAGTCAGTCAGTCAGTCAGTCAGTCTTGATGTCGAGCCCCATCTGGGGCTCATGATCAGATATTAATTATTACCGTTTGACATTTACGGTCTTATTTTTGTGGGGCGCCCTCTCTGATTCGTATTAAATTGTCGAGTTACGTATATATGGCAAAAGAGTTCCAAGTTGGTTGTGAATGCCTATTTGACCAGTTTATATGCCTGTCTTGCTGGTGTGATGCAGTCTGGGGCCAGGTCGTGATGTTATAGGGCTCTTGCACTGCACGTTCGTACGTGCCACCGCTGTATTTATACCATATCGGAGTGTAGGTAGGCCGAGTATGTGTCGTTAAGTTTTCTTTGTGATACTTAGCGTAGCCTAGGGGCCGTGCATAGCTCAAGCGGTTAGTCGCTGGCTTCCCGATCCCGGGCCTGGTCAAGTGGGATTTTTGGTGGACAAAGTGGCGCTGGGGCAGGTTTTCTCCGAGTACTTCAGTTTCCCCTGCCAATCTTCATTTCACCAATTGCTCCACAATCACCCTCACCTATCATCTGGGGCTGGTACAATAGGCCAGAAGTGGTGTCAGTACGAGGGACTTAGTTCCACCCCAGTAGCAATAAGAAAATATCGCAGCCTACGTCTTGCCCTGTATTCGGTCCTTGAGACTCAGAACTATCTTACGGACTAATATGGGGGGCAGGATGTCCGTTATCGCCCATGTCCACTATAATCGACTGAAGGGATATCGAAGAAAGTACACCATATGATTGGAACCGGGGTAGCGTAGTTGGTATAGCGACACGATACGGGCTGTACGACTGAGGGGTCGGAGTTCGAGTCCCGGTAGAGTTAAGAATTTCCACTTCTCCAATCCTCCAGACCGGCTCTGGGGTCCACCCAACCTCCTATATAATGGGCACCGGGGGCTCTTTTTTGGAGATAAAGCGGCAGGGGCGTGTGAAGCTGACCACTCACCTCCAACTAGTGCCGAGGTCAAGAAAATGTGGCTGTATACATCCACTCCCCCAATACGTCTTCATGGCGTAGTGCTTAATTAGTTAATCAGAGGGACAATTTACCTTACTTTTACAGCATAGGATACAAAGCCAATATAGGCAATAAACACAGAAACACACAGTGAGACTACATAGAGACTTTCGTATTTTGTTTTTAAATAGTGCTAGCTACAAAATCTTCTTTGTGCCTTAGCGTCTCTTAAATATTCGGAATCATACACAAGACAGATTTCGTCTGTTTACTGTAGTGTCATAAATGAGGTCATTTTCTACTACAAGGATTGTCCACAGGTCATCTATAAATAAAACTAATTCAAGTATCGAATGTCACTCGATGTTTCGTAACTGCTAACCTTCAGCCGGTCAATACCGACTGGCTCAACGAAATGCGTCTTGTCTGGACATGGCCATTACTGCATAACACGACGGAGTTCCTCTGCCCACTTTACTTCAAATACAGCGACATAAATGGCGAAAGGGCCCATCAAAAATTGTATATTACAGTAATAACTGTACAGTTAACTGATCCATTTACGTATGTATGGGGGCACGCGGTAGCGTAGGTTGTTTGAGGTACTACGCTACAAGTCGGAAGGTCGTGAAGTCATTAGATTTTTCAATTGATCTAATCATTCCAGCCGCACTATGGCCCTGGGGTCGACCCAGCCTCTAATAGAAATGAGTACCAGGAATCTTCCTGGGGGTAAAGGGCAGCCGGCCGGCGCGTAAGGCTGACAACCTCACCGCCATCTGTGAGCGGATTGTCTAGAAAATGTGGGAGTCCCTATGGGCCTCCACGGCCCGTAACAGGGGTAGCTTTACCTCATTCATTTACGTATAATTTCCTCTAGTACTGAGCTGAAACGCGTCGATGTGCGTTGATCTTAGAGCACAGGCCTACGGTACTTGGGAACGTGGTGAGAATGTCTGTGCCCAAGAGAGATTAAATGATAGGAGGCTGGAGGAAACTGCATAATGACGAGCTTCTTAAATTGCACTCTTCGTCAAATATAATTAGAATGACCAAGTTGAGGATGAGATGGACAGGGCATGTAGCACGCGCGGGGAGGAGTGAATACAGGATTTTGGTGGGAAGCTTGAAGGAAATGAGGTCCGAGACGTAGGTGGGAGGATAATATTAAAATGGATCTTAGAGAAGTAGGATGGGGCGGTATGGACTAGATTAATCTAGCTCAGGATAGGGACCAATGGAGGGCTCTAGTGAATACGGTAACGAATCTTCGGGTTCCATAAAATATAGGGAAATCCATGAGTAGCTGAGCAACTTGTGGCTTCTCAAAAAGGACTCTGTTCCATGGAATTGGTTGATTTTATGAGCATCGTCAAAAAAAAAAAAAAGTGATACGACGAACATTCGTCAACCATGTGGAAGAGCGATATGGTTCGAAAGGCGGACATATTCATAGATAATGCCGTCTTTTGGGATGTGGCCCCGTGTAGATCTTGTGTGAACCGACGTTTCGGAGGAATGTATCGCCTTCCATCTTCAGGGCAGAAAAATCCGCAAGAGAAGAATCGGCGTGAGCACGTGGTCGCTTGCGGATTTTTCTACCCTGAAGATGGAGGGCGATACATTCGTCCGAAACGTCGGATCACACAAGATCTACATGGCGCCACATCCCAGAAGACGGCATTCTTCATAGTCACCGCCGTAAAAACCTCAAATCTGACATATTTCACAGACTCCAAGTCATGATACGATAATTTGATTCATCTAAATCTTAATTAATGTGATAATGCTTTATCAGCCGACTTGCCGTAAGACAGCATAATTTGATCATACAGAAATTAATGTTTATCTCACATATAAGTGTGTAAAAAAACGAAAATAAAAAAAAGGCATATGCGTAATTACCATTATTATTAGCACTCATCATAACAAATTTGTCTAATCTGTCTATCTGTCTGTCTGTCACAAGATGATAAAGCTGTGGAGTCGACATTGCTCACAGTTGCATTGTCCACTGCAATTTGGCAGAATATCTTGAAATCATATCAGCTGTGGGCGGGCACGTGGAAGCGACTTTCAAATTCTCATGGTTATAAAATACGGGCAGAACGCAACAATTTTGTAGCGGTTGCTTCCTTATTTCTTTTAAATTATACCTAAAAACCTCATATGGGCCGCGCCATAGCTCAAGCGGTTAGTCGCTGGCTTCCCGGGTTCGATCCCGGGTCTGGTCAAGTGGGATTTGTGGTGGACAAAGTGGTGCTGGGCAGGTTTTCTCCGAGTACTTCGGCTTCCCTGCCAATCTTCATTCCACTAATTGCTCCACAATCACCCTCACCTATCATCTGGGGCTGGTACAATAGGTCAGAAGTGGCCGCAGTACAAGGGGCTTAGTCCCACCCCACTAGGAATAAAAAAAAAGAATATAAAATATGTATTTTAATTTTCTCTACAATTTTTGTTTAAAGCAGTTTTCGCTTTGATGTATATTTAGAGAATTTCGCTCGAGATGCAAGCAGATACACGCGCGGGTAAACCCCTCGCTAATTCGGTTACAGTTAATCGCGATCGAAATATGAAAAATTCCGGTCACAGTTCAGTACATGGCATTTAGGAAGGCAGACGAGGAGCAGATATGATTCTCAACTGAATAACGGCATACAATTTCTGAATCATGTTCTTAATTTCATCACGAATATTACGTTTATTTGTTACCGACTTTCGGAAGGGGGTTCAAAATACTTTTTAAAAGAATTTTATATTTCCGCTTCGTCATGAATTTCGAAAATAAGAGAGATACGTCGTAATTTTTCTTCTACATTTATTTACAGACCAACGTCATTAATGCCTTTTACGAGAATTTCATTGATCATTGTTCATGTGCATGGAACTGGGGCACATCTAAGGAGCCTCACATTTCTATGGGACCGATCGCATTGTGACGAGTTTCTCAAAGAATTAAGATATGGAGCCAGAAAAACCCGTGTAACGCGGTCAACAGTAGAACTTCGGTTACTTAGCAACGACGGTCTCAATAATCACCACAACAGAGGAACTACTGAACACATCTCATAGGCAACGGCCACAGAAAGTTACAACGGCTGAGTAAACATTGTTCCCATAGCAACGGAAAGGACGTTTTCATGACAACAGAGAAATCAGCTGTTCGACTCGGTGTCTTCTATACGGTACGCCAAGAACCACCTCAAGAGGATTACTAGAAGATTGCTGGAGATGAGAACCCGGGAGACAGAACACGACAGAAGAATACAGAAGGATAGAGAAGAGAAGACTAGAGGCTAGTGCAAGATCCACAAGGAGTCAGATGTGTCTGTTGTAATCAAGTGAAACTGTAATAGAGACGTCTGATAAACCCAATCAATCAAATCTAGAGCGTACCCCCGTACACATGACAACAGGGACAGTGCTGCTCAACAGATGCATGGTCCTACACCGAACAAACACTGGAATCTGGAATTCGAACCTAACTTTTGTTATCACCTCCAGTAATCTTATTCATTGCCACAATCTGCGGTTTTGTGGACCGTGGAGCCGCCTAGTCTCCTATGCTGATAAAACAATTTGAGCCAGAATTGGGTGAAACCCGGAAACAGGGAGAAACCGCTGTGGAGGGAACAGTTCAACGGCCTTCCACGCCTTATCAAGCCAGACGCTGTTTTAGTGCTGTCACAGAAATGTTTTCCCTACGTCTAATTTCATAGCAGTCAAGGGCGACGCCTTACAGAATTGGCGATTTTTTTATTGCTAGTGGGGTGGGACTAAGCCCCTTTTACTGCGGCCACTTCTGGCCTATTGTACCACCCCAGATGATAGGTGAGGGTGATTGTGGAGCAATTGGTGGAATGAAGATTGGCAGGGGAAACCTAAGTACTCGGAGAAAATCTGCCCCAACGCCACTTTGTCCACCACAAATCCCACTTAGTGGGACTTAGTCCCACCCCACTAGCAAAAAAAGGTAAAGCTATCCCTATAACAGGCCGTGGAGGCCCACAGGGTTGTGCGACGTCGACACTCCTACACTTTCTAGACAATCGGCTCACAGATGACGGCGATGTCAGCCTTACGCGCCGGCCGCCCTTTACCCCCAGGAATATTCCTGGTGCTCATTTTTGCTAGAGGCTGAGTCAATCCCAGGGTCAGAGTGCGGCTAGATTAGGTCAATTTAAAAATCCAATGACCTCATCGGAAGTCGAACCCGTGACCATCAGACTTCTAGCAGTGTCTCAACCAACTATGTTACCGCGTGCCCCAAGTTGTCCCTGTATTTAACTAATTAAGCACTACGCTATGAAGACGTATAGGGAAGTGAAAAAACAGCCAAGGCCCAACAAAGGGGCTGCATACCCATAATGATGATGATAATAATAATAATCACTCACTCGTGGAGCTGAGCCCTTCTTGAGATGCCGCCGATTGTGGAGCTATTCAAGAATTTCCCAGCATTTTATGGAACCCGAAGGTTCATTACCGTGTTCACAAGAGCCCTCCACAGGTCCCTATCCTGAGCCAGTTCAAACCAATCCATACCATCCCATCCTATCTCTCTAAGACCCATTTTAATATTGTCCACCCACCTACGCCTTGGTCTCCCCAGTTGTCTCTTTCCTTCTGGCTTTCCCACCAAAATCCTATATGCATTCCCCTTCACCATTCGTGCTACATGCCCTGTTCACCTCATCCTCCTTGACTTGATCATTCTAATTATACTTGGAGAAGAGTACAAGTTATGGAGCTCCTCATTATGCAGTTTCAATAATGTTTGCAGATGGACAACGTCGGATTTGAGCAGGACCGAAGGGCTACAGTGGAGATGGGGGAGGTGTCATCGCCCGCTTCACCTGCAGTCACTCTGACGACAATCAATGGGAACGGCGTACCCGGTTGCACGGATGCATGCCTTTCATTACATCAACAACATCAGAGGAACCTGCAGCAGTACCAGAAATCCACGGCGCCTCAGCCGCCCGAGAGCCCATGGCATCGCCTTAAGACAATCTTCCTAGTTAGCGCCATAGGGTCCCTCATCGTCTGGGTAGTGGTGTACACTGTGCTTAGCCAGATGTCCTTTGTTTGACCGTGGATAGGACTGAATCTTACGTTAAGGAACAAGTCCACGTGTCAAGCTCAAAAAAAAAAAATATTAACAGTCGCCAATGTTGTCCTGATCTGTAAAACCACTTCAGAGGCCCAAATTATCTTGAAGAACTTCTCAGTGAAGGAGTGGGACAAGTATAAAACATTAAATTCAGGCTTCTCTGTTATGAAAACGGGAACGATGCGGTGTGTAGATTAGATATTACTGGTATCTCTTCTTGATACTTCACAATTACGAACACTATTTTTAGCATTTTCATTTTCAAATCGACGTTTCCAGCAGATAATTTCAACTCCAAAAATTATAGACGGGAAATTAGTAGAGATATTATGGAAGTTACCAGCAGACATAAAAATGATTAACTTACAATGTTATTCCTATCTCAAATATCTCCCCCACAAAAACTGTTCATTAAATTAATATATTTTTTTACTTATTGATCATAATAGGATAGAACAATTTGAATGACCATCCAAGTTTAGTTTTTGTGTTTGTCAGAAGCAATTTATAAACGAATGATCGATGTATTGCCGAACACTGCATAGATCATGTTCAAAATTAAAACGGAGTTTCCGGTTTTGTGATTCATACAAAATGATAACTCTTTTACTAGATCTGGATATGCAAATAACTTGAATGTAAGAAAACAGTCTCATGAGTTGATTGGAAATGTATGCTTTAATTATGGCAGGAAATTGCTAACAAAATTTTGGTTATAAGACTGGTAATTTCTGCAAAACCTTGCGGTGTGGATTCGAAAAGCAGCTACTTTTGGAGATCTCTTATTTGTTGTTTAATTTATTTTAAGCCGTTTATTTAAATAGGCCCAAGAAATAAATAACGTTGACTGTACAGCTCGGAGCTCCCCCGCAATAGAAGTAAATTATAACCAAAAATGAAAGTAACACAGAATTAAACATATTTTAAAGTATCAAACTTATCCCTTAAGCAGTCTCATAATAAATTATATTGCAAGATCTGGAAACACGCGAGTACTGTAATGTACAGTCAACATTCACGTTATCGAATGTGACATACTGAAGTTACAGACAAAGAGGGACATTACTTGTTTGTGTGATTGTATTTTGTGGTGTGTAGAGGAAGTGGAACCTTATAGAGTCACGTCTGTGAAAGTTATAGAGAAGTTATAATGATAGTTATATGTAGGAAAGCTATGTGCCACGTCCTATAGCAATGGTTTCCAGAGAGAGAGACACATACACACAGACAACCGCTGGGCTTAGTAAAAGTTTTGTCGTGTCCTCGTACTAAACTTTGTGCATGTGTATGTACAACAAAATTTTCAGTTTGTAATTTTTAAAATCAACAAGTTCTAAGTCTTTATAAATTAATACTATTTCTGAAGATTTTACATATGCACGCGATCGCCTCTGTGGTCTAGTGGTCAGAGTTCCTGGCTACAGATCCAGAGGTCCCTGGTTCGATTCCCGGCGCTACCAGATTATCTGAGAAGTAGTGGGTCTGGAACGGGGTCCACGCAGCCTCGTGAGGACAATTGAAGAGCTGTTTCAAGAAAAGTGCTGCTCCAGTGTAGAAAACCGAAATTAACGGCCGTGGGGATTCGTTGCGCTGACCACGCGACACCCTCTATCCGCTAAATTTGGCACTAACTTCGCCGACGAGCGGCGGTCGCGCGGTCGGTATAGTTCGCTTGCGGACTCAAGCCCCGGAGTTTGTTTGTTTACATATGCACGAAATTATATAATCTAAATCTTGACATTTTGAGAATTATAACAATCAAATTTTACTACATAGCTTTCCTCCTCGCAGTGAGGGCGCACCTCGAACTTTGGAAACTACTGCTCTATAGAATGAGTCACAAAGCACGTGTCATGAGACACGGTAACACAGAGCTGCAGGTGCAGAGGTGGAGTTACAAGAGTCGGTAAGTTGAACAGTGAAAGGGTAAAGTCTGTTTTTATACTTGATAAGATTAGCAGCGAGGAGGTGTTTTTCATGAAGGCAACTGGTGACAGAAGAACTGAATGTACTATATAGACTTAACTGTTTTGTACATTGTTACGTGTACATTTTGTACGGCTAGAAACAGTGTATGTGCATTCCATTTACATTCCAGAATGAAACGTAATTTACAGTAAAATATGTTTCAAACATTCAGCAGGTTTAGCTCATGAAAGCCATGTAATATACCCATCCATGAACAACCGGAGTAATATATTTCTTCGTGTTCTGTTCGGCTTCATTATTAAATATAGATAAAATAGTAAAAAAAGTAAAGCTATCCCTGTAACAGACCGTGGAGGCCCGTAGGGTTGTGAGACGTTGAGGCTTCCACATTTTCTAGACAGTCGGCTCACAGGTGGCGGTGAGGTTGTCAGCTTTAAGAACCGGCCGCTCTTTACCCCCGGGAATATTCCTGGTACTCATTTCTGTTAGAGGCTGAGCCGACCCCAGGGCCATAATGCGGCTGGAAGGATGTCAATTGAAAAAATCCACCTCATCGGGATTCGATCATGGGACCTTCCGGCTTGTAGCATAGTGCCTCAACCAACTACGTTATCCCGTACCTCCATTAAATGTCGATAAGAAAGTTAAAACGACAAGTTTCTCCTCTGGAAACTCTTACTGTGGAATTCAGTTATCAAAGGCCTTAACATTAACGAAGCTGACCATTGGATGACTGGAGGACAGTGTATAATGATACAGCCTCTTTATTACAACCGTCACAACACAACAAATATCAAGATCAGTGCCTAGTTTGAGCTCTGCTACATGTTTCGGCTATCAGTAGCCATCATCAGGCAAATACATGGCTAACATATATACACCACTGAACCGCAGTACTAGTAAAATTGGATACAATATTATTAATTATATAAAATACTTGACGTAAAAATACAATAAATTAGATTATATAAAACAGAAGTTATAATATAAAACAAGAATGAAGATTCTTCGATAGATGCTTTACATCATCGAGTCAGTCGTTGGTTTTTGTAATTTTGTTGCGTTCCCACGGACAAATTGGAATATTCTATATTTTGTGTATATATAAAAATGTACTGGAGGCTCGTGATGTAGATGTAGTAATATTAATGTTAATTATTTAGTCGGTGCCTCGTCTTGCAAAGTATTGTCCGTTCTGTAGGGAATGTAAACTATTTAAAAAAACAATGTAAAAAAAGTGTATAATGAATTGGAATGGTCGTGGAAAATTTAAGGTGCATTTTCCTGGAGGGACTGACGAAAACCGCCAGACAGGATAGTCGGTGTCTCGAGTGAGACTCGAACTGGGCACCTTCCGAACACAGAACCCAATATTCTTGTAGAGCGCATAGGGAACGTGCAAGAATGCAAGTGACAATTTGTGGGAGTAGGGCAAGGGCAGTAGAGGGGGGGGGGAGATTTTTCTCTTTTACAGACCGGTCCTGGGGCCCATCGAGCCTCACTTTCAACTCACTTCACAGTATAGGTGACCCTTGTGCTTAAATAATAAGCGATGCTCCACGAAGACGTATGGGGGGACTAGTTGGAGGTGAGTGGTCACTTTCACGCCCCGGCCGCTTTGCCCCCTGGGAAAGAGCCTCCGATACCCACTGGATAGGAGGCTGGGTGCGCCAATCGGTCTGGACGACGTGGAGAAGAGAAAACCTTGCTCCTACGGGGACTCGAACTTCTATCCTCCGTCTATCCAGCTCGTAGTGCTGGGGGTAAGTATGTGTTGAACTTTACCTCCAAGCCCTTCTACGCCATCATGTTGTGGTGGTTAGCATGGGATACAGATACTGTGAATTTGCAGAAGAGGCTGAACTGAGTCCGGATAGAATTCAAAGACAGTCTTTTGTGATAACAATGACGAACGCGCCCAGTGCATCAGAAATCACAGCTGAATGAATACCTGTTATTCAAGAGAAATCATGCATAACGGTGCTGGTTCCAAATTGGTTATATAGTCACTGAACTCTCGTGGTTACGTAACAGAGCCACAAGACAGTGAAAGCGACTTCGCCCGAGGGTTGCAGCGAATGGCGGCCTGTTGGATAACTGCAAGCTTTCAATATATATAGCTAATATGCTGCCTCGTTCCTGCGAATACATCGTCACATGAATTATTCTGAGCTACAGATCTATGTTGTTTTTAGTTTCTTGGGATGGAGTGAGACTGAGTCCACTTAGTATTTCGACCACTACTGTCCTATTGTTCAAACCCCTGATGATTTTTTATTGCTAGCGGGGTGGGACTAAGTCCCTTGTACTGCTGCCACTTCTGGCCTATTGTACCAGCCCCAGATGATAGGTGAGGGTGATTGTGGAGCAATTGGTGGAATGAAGATTGGCAGGGGAAATCGAAGTACTGGGAGAAAGCCTGCCCCAGCGCCACTTTGTCCACCACAAATCCCACTTGACCAGATCCGGGATCGAACCCGGGCCGCCTCGATGGAACCCCGGATGATAGATGATAATGAGTGTGGAGCAGTAGGTGGAATGTGAACTGGTAAGAGAAACGGAAGTACTCGGAGAAAACCTGCCTCAGTGGCACTTTGTTAACCACAAATCCCACATCACCTGACCTGGGCTCGAACCCGGCGACTAACAGCCTGAGCTATGTCACGGCCTACAGATGTTAGATTTGAGGTTTTCACGTGGGTGACTATGAAGATTACAGTTTTCTGCGATCTAACGCCATGTAGTCTGGTAAATCGTTACGGAGGAATATGTTGCCTCCATCTTCAGTGTTTACCAACAATTCATAGGAATGCGTTACCCCCATAATGGAGCCAGTAGATTTTTCAAAACATCTGTAACGATTTATGAAGCTATACAGCGGCACATCTCAGAAGACATCAAACTTTATAAACCTATAAGAAAAACAAACTCCGTGGCCTGTAGTCTGCAGGTGAACTATACCGACGGATAGACCGCCGCTTGACGAAGTTTAGCGGATAGAGGGTGTCGCGTGGTCAGCGCAACGAATCCCCACGGCCGTTAATCTCGGGTTTTTAGACCGGAGCCGCTACTCTTCCATTCAAGTAGCTCCTCAATTATCCTCACGAGGCTGAGTGGACCCAGTTCCAGACCCACTACTTCTCAGAAAATCTGGTACCATCGGAAATCGAACCCTGGAACTCTGACCACTAGACCACAGAGGCGGTCGACCTTGCGACATATAATGGGGAAAAAAAGAGGGGACTTCATGGGAATCATGAGCAAAGTATAGAAAGATAACTTAAAAAATCACAATAGAAATAACTCGAATAAATAATAATGAAATAATAACCTCAAAACAGATTACTTTCATAAGATAATACAATCGCGATGAGCACGGTCTGTTTCCAGACAAGATAAAGCTTCCAGATACAGTTAGTGTACCTGGCAGGAAACAGGGCCACACCGACCGTGTCGGCACTTCAATCGCGTATTAGTTTTCATAAATAACGAAGCAGCCTCCTACCAGACGTCGGAATGCCTACAAATTCAGGGGAATCTGAGAGGGCGTGTTCCAACACAGAACATCCCGGCGATCCAGGCGCATCAAGCATTTCGGACGAAACTGCGTCATCCACCAATTGGGATATTTCGAATTTGCCAGAAATTACTAAACCTCCTGAGGTGTCCAGAGATGCACCCGAAACCTCGCCATTTACAGAAACATTCGAAACTTCTGGAAGACTTGAGGAAAATGAGAAAGCAGAGTCAAGCCCCGAGGAAGGTTTGAAAGTATTTTTGACTAATGAATATCCAGTATATAGTCCAGACGCAGCGCCTCTGTGTGCAGCTGCCGAGGCAACGATATGCACTTCCAAAGGAAACAAACAATCAAATCTACTTGCAGGTCCAATGGATGCTACTGGTGCCAAGAACGGTGCGTTTCAACTTGATGAAGCAAAGCAGCAGAAAGATGACGTTCAGGTAAGCTTTATATAATTATGATATCGAAAAAGTATATATTCGAAATTTATTGCAGGAACTTATTTTCTTATGACCGCCTCTGTGGTCTAGTGGTAAGAATCCCTGGCTACAAATACAGAGGTCTCGGGTTCGATTCCCGGCGCTATCAGATTTTCTGTGAAGTAGTGGGCCTGGAATACTGAGGGTGTTTGAGAACAGGGCGTTGAGGAGAATAATTGGACGGAAGAGAGATGAAGTCACAGGAAGTTGGAGAAAACTGCATAATGAGGAGCTTCATAACTTGTACTCTTCTCCAAGTATAATTAGAATGATCAAGTCAAGGAGGATGAGGTGGGCAGGTCATGTAGCACGAATGGGGGAGACGAAGAATGCGTATATGATATTGGTGGGAAAGCAAGAAGGAAAGAGACCACAGGGAAGACCAAGACGTAGGTGGGTGGACAATATTAGAATGGATCTTAAAAAGATAGGATGGGATGGTATGGATTGGATAGATCTGGCTCAGGATAGGGACCAGTGGAGGGCTCTTGTGAACAAGGTGATGAACCTTCGGGTTCCATAAAATGCTGGGAAATTCTTGAGTAGCTGCAGAATTGGCGGCTCCTCCAGGAGGGCTCAGCTCCATGAGTAAGTAAGTAAGTGGGTCTGCACCGGGGTCCACTCAGCCTCGTGAGGATAACTGAGGAGCTATTTCAAGGAAATAGCGGCTCCGGTCTAGAAAACCGAGATTAACGGCCGTGGGGATCCGTTGCGCTGACCATGCGACACCCTCTATCCGCTAAAGTTAGGACTAACTTCGCCGTCAAGCGGCGGTCGCTCTGTCGGTATAGTTCGCTTGAGGACTAAAACCACGGAGTTACACCACATTTATTTATTTATTTATTTATTTATCATAGTGTGATTAACGTGTATGTGATATACTTGACATGGACAGACTTATTAATAAAATGGACGGGTATTTAATTTATAGTTCAGTTTATTAAGTTGTGTGTCATACAAGAAAACAGTCTCGCGTAACACAGGGTTACTTCTTTGACAACAAGAGGGTCGCAATAAACAGTCAACCTCATACCACATACAAAGTTTTAAACTTACACGACAATTACCTCTGTAATTCTACGCGCTTATTTTTAAAATTATGTAATATTCATACTTGTAACGAGTTTAATCAGGCGCTTCTCTCTGTATATGTGAGGTTATAGTACTCTCAAAGACGTTTCGGGAGTTGTGTGATTAGCGAATTTCTAACGAACGAACGTCATACTTCATGTAATTTGTTAAGATTCCTTTTATACTTTCCTTTTGCATACAGAACTGCTATTGGAAGATAATATTCATGCATGTATTATTTTTTTAAATTCGCATATTGGGGGGTGGAGTCCAGTTGGGTCCACTCGGCACGTCGGCCACTGATTGGCCTATTGTACCTGCCCCGGGTCATTATGATGATGGAGAATTTGGTGGAATGAAGATTGGCAGGGGAAACCTAAGTACTCGGAGAAAACCTGCCCCAGCGCCACTTTGTCCACCACAAATCCCACTTGACCAGACTCGGGCTCGAACCCGTGCCGCCGCGGTGGGAAGCATTCAAGCATGTAAGTGTATTTCTTGAAAATTCGTGCAAAGAAGTTTAATTGTAGTTGCTTTGTGAAGTTATTCTGCTTTAATAGTTAATTATTTTCAGTTTGGCAATTATCCCGCAAGGGGACCAGTGACTTCCGGAGGGGGAAAGGGGTAAACATTATCTACAAAAGATAAAATTGAAAACTGGACGGCTAAAATTTGTGCAAGAAAATCATCCCCCTTAACTTGTCGCGTGCTTACTTAGTGAATTCTACACAGTTCGGACGCTCGAGATAATAGACTCTGTATCATTGAAGTTTCCTGACAAGAGTAAAGTGAAATGTCATTGATAGGAGATAAAAATGAAGTACAATGAAACGGGAACATACGCTTGATCAGTGTCCACCGAGGTGACAAGCATCACGACTATCAACTGGCAAGATTCGAACTCATGGTCATTATTTATTTACGGTCTCTTTAAAGATGCACTCGGAAATTCAGATTACAGCATCGAATGCTAGGATGACTAGTGAATGTTGAACTGAAAATTACCTGGAACGAAGCGGTCATGGCTCTGGGAGCATTCAGACCAGTGGCATCTGTGGCCCAATTGGAATATGCGCGAGAGTCGGTAAATAGGTTACAAATGGAGGTAAAACAGCTGTAATGGACGTAACGGGTTTTCCAAGTGTATCACTAGGTAGCAGCACAGTCTAGCTTCACGATAGTCTAGGCAGCAGACGCGCAAGCGCAAGTTCAAAGGCTGGTTTCAGTAGTCAACATGGCGACCGTCCTTGAGGAACATACTACAGAAGAGCAACATTATCCTGTGCGTTTCTATATGCAAAAGGACTCAACCCAAAAGCTATTCATGAAGGTATGTTTCATGTTTACGGTAGGGAGTTTTGCTGCGTAAAACGGTCCACAATTGGGTTAAGAATTTATCTCAAGGACATTCGAAGGTCGCAGATGACGAAACGGAAGTGGCTGAAACTACAGTTAAAGGGCTTATATCCTGCGGATTTCAACGCACTGGTAAAGCGATGGGACAAGAATATCAATCTTAATGGAGGACATGTCGAGAAATAAATATTTTTCCGAGTTTCGAATATAACATGTTTTATGCCCTATATCCATTTGTGAGCTATTTACTGACTCTATCTCGTACTACCTCTGCATTTACTTCGGCTAGAATAGATTTTAAAGCTGAGATTTTGACTGGGAACTCTTGAGAATGAAGCGTAAGTGCTTCAGTGCCTGATTGTAACGTTCACTTATGATCACAATGCTGTCAAATTTCCCAGAGCAACGTTCTAATGGCCTTGGGTACTAGAGAGGAACATAAACACATTGTTTCTTAAAAGTTCAGTTACAAAAAACAGATTGACAGCACGAAATTTATATTTCTTGTCATTCTGCTTAAAGTTTCTTGTCTGTTTTCACACTATGTATGTCTTTTGCATGACTTTCTGACACCTGGAAGAAGTCTGAGAAAGAAAAGAAATGTCAATATCAGTTTCAGCCAAGACAATTAAAACATCAGCATTCTACATCGGGTGCAAAGAAATGGATAGGTCTGTATTATCTGGTTAACGTTGTCATTCCTATGACTAAGCACCGAACTATGGACGCATGTACAGTGGGGGTGGGATTGGTGGTGTTAAAGCTCCATGCATTCTAGACCTAAACTCTAGACCAGCCGTGTCAAACATGCGGCCCCTCAACTTTTAGAGCTAATTGATATTAAAATCAATAATGAAATTTTAGTATAAATATTTTTTGTACAGAATTTTCCAACAGACCAGAAGACAAGAAGTCTCACGCAGACATAAATTAGCAGGCTGCAGGAAATTCAATGTTTTGCTATTTCTAACATAATTTCTTGTGTAATCTCTCTTTTTGCACATTGAAAAGCTGTTTGATACTTGTCAAAAAATGACATTCTCTTGCTTTTTAAAACTGTAAGATATGTGACTTTAGGTAATTATAAATGATATTATTCCTAAATAATAAATAGAATTAAATTTACTTGTATCAAAATCTAACGTATATTTCTATTTTGAAGTGCGGCCTTGGACTATTATTTATAGGGCTGAGATGGCCCTCTGTACAAGTTGAGTTTGACATGCCTGCTCTAGACTGAGGCTCCAGTCGCTTTACTCCTGAGAATATACCTCCATTACTAGGTTTGGGCATAGCGGAAGAGATAAAAACCTTTTACCCTGCTGGAAAACGAAAACCGCTAGTACAGTCCAATGAGAACAATTCGGAAAGGAAGGAAGCGAAGACTTTCGTGGTCTGCAGGAGTTCGTTGACTTGTGATAAAAGCTCAAGCTTGGGGGAGGGGGGATGGAACAGCCTGCCGTCGGGGAAGGTGGCATGGGTTTGTATTTCGAGGGCATCTGTGTGTATACGATATTCCACTGTTGTTCATTCGCAGATCCAGGTGGTCTCCTCTACTTCCACTGCCCGGCGCCAAAATGTCTTACTCGGATGGGACGTTCTCAAATCCTGGTCACTGTTGGGTCTCCTGGCTGGATTCATCTTATGGGCCGCCATATTCTTTCCGCTCTTGCTTAATGGAATCATCTAACCAAAGTCGGATTAAGACGTCACGATTCGCTAGTCTACGGGAATGATAAGGCTATAAAACTGTTAATTTATAAGCACTGATTAATAAATACTAGAGATTTTTCGTTGGATAATTTCTTCATGGCAGAAAATAACGACCATTCTTGTAGTAACAATAACTTTGTAATAGTATATTCTACGTCTAATTATTGTGAATTAAGTCTCCATGTACCAAAACACAGGTTTCATAATATTGTCACGTGTATGTGTGACTATATACGGGGTATGGATTGGTAATTGGATTTATTGAACACTTATAGATCGTAACTATAGCGCCATAGCTGATTCACATACTTTGCAGTTCATTACAGCATGTACTAAGTCTTCTGTCTCCTGCCTTCACCAGTTGTTGCCTGCTGACGGATCCCAACAATTTCCTCTGCTTCCGTGTTCAGGTTCTTACCGGCTGGTGACTGTCCCACAACTAACTCATTGCTCCGACTGTCCTACTTATAACATATCGGCACGAACCGCACAGAAAACATTGTTCTTTTGTTGCTTAGCGAACCGCGCAGAAAGTGTCATTCCTCTGTTGTACAGTCGCCTATCTCTATCGGTCGCCGCCTAGCAACGGGCCTACTTCCCACAATATGTTAAATAAATATACCATGTATGAATAATACATGTGGAAGTAAAAAACGTTGCTCCTCGTTTTCCCTTACATTAGCTCTAGACTTTGCTAGTGAATGCCAGGTCTTGACATTCTCTTAAAAACAGTCAAGGTGGACGAGCTGCGGGCATGGTTGTAAAATTTCGTTGCAAACGTGTCCACTGGTAGTGTGAGAGTCTGGTCTCATTTTTTACAACAACTAAAAGAAATACGGCCTAATTTTCTTTATTTTAGAGAAATAAATATCTCAACGCTCATCACGGTGGTCGCGCGGTCTAAGGCATGAACTGGGTTCCAATCCCACTCAAGGCATGAATGTCTGTGCGTGCGTTTATTCTGTTTGTGTTGTCCTGTGTGTAGGTAGCGGCCTTGTGACGGGCTGATCCCCGCCCAAGGAGCCCTACCGACTGTGTAAAATAGATTACGGAACAGAATAAGAGGCCAGGACCCAACAAAGGGCTGTAGAGTCACTGATGAATGAATGAATGAAACGTCAATAAAATCTGTGGACTCTGTTTCTGTTCTGTGAAGGCGCCGGAGCCACCGCCCTGATCTCTATTTCCAACAAAATAACACAATACATGTAAGATTTGAGGCTTTCACGGCGGTGACTATGAAGAAGGCAGTCTTCTGGGATGTGGCACCATGTAGATATTGTGTTAATGGACGTTTCGGAGGAACGTATCGCCTCCATCTTCAGGGTAGAAGAAAAAAGAAGAAAATCCGCAAGCGAAGAACCAGCGTGGACTAATAGTCTATTTGCACTTGCTCACGCTGGTTCTTCGCTTGCGGATTTTCTTCTTTTTTCTTCTACCCTGAAGATGGAGGCGATTCGTTCATCCGAAACGTCGGTTAACACAATATCTACATGGCACCACATCCCAGAAGACTGCTTTCTTCACAACGTTACATGTATAGAAACTATGAATACATTTTCAAAAATAAAAATGTCGTCAACTACTGAGTGAAGGACTTGAAGACTCTTCCCCTCCCGCACCGAAGCAACTCAACATCTTCTTGTCGGCTATGCCATGCAAGAATAAAAGAGGGTCCCAGAAGCGCTACTCTTAATGCTGTTTTCGTGTCTGGTGAATTTCCCCTGACCCTTAATATACCTGAAGACATACTCTTCAAGCGAAAGAACAAACTAAAAAGTGTCCTTGGTGTGATATAAGTTGAACTGGGCGGGGTTATGACGCAAAGCAGGTGTCAATTATTGGCTCAGGCGCGTTGTGGAGGTCACCCCTGCTGAAACATTGGCGGATATGCGTTAATAGCTGAGAGAAAAGAAAACTTGGAGAAGTCGCTGTGTAGCTTTGCTGGAGGAAGGAGCGTTAAAGGATAAAGAAAACAGCGGTCTCCAAGGATGAAGTTCCTTTTTCTACTGGTTTTAACCTTGTTTATCGTTGCCATTTTGGGTAAGCGCTTTATTGATTTTTAATAAACTAACAGTGTTCATAAGACATCTGCTTTCTAGGTCTTACTGTACTGATATTGACATGAACATTTCTGTGCTCACCCGTGACTGCTTTGTCGTGCTGGACACGGGATGCTGCAATCGTGCACAAAGTCTCGTGTAAAGAAAAGACAAGTACGTTATTCACTAATTAAAAGTTAAAATTCACGTCCGGCAGCAAACAAACGCGCATAATATAAATAGGGCTTCACTTCTTCGTCATACAAAGTTAAGTGTAACGTATTCTTAATACCAGAAGTAACTGAAATAACGTTTCGCAGTGATAAATTCCTTAAATTCTAAACAATACTGACTATTTGCAAATTACAAGAAATGGTAATTACTGAATTAATTGTGTATCAGCATCATGATCAGGTCTAGTCTTACGTAAGAGCCAAGGCCGTTGGCTTTGAGGGCCACTTCTGAATACGGTACAGTGCTGATCCCACTCTCGGCTTCTTCATCTTAAAATTAAGCCGGGGGGGGGGTGAGGAGATGTCAATTATTTGAACATTATTCCTCGTAAAACACTCCTGTATACTGAGCTGCTTATTTCGTGGTCGTTGCCTTGCAACTAGTCTACATGTCACAGTATTATTATGGAACTATGGATGGGGAAAACAGAACTGTATAGTTCTTGAAACGCATGCAATCAAACTTTCACCCATTCAGGTGCTGAACGAAGTAAAATAAGTGACAAGGAACTTCAAGCTTTCACTGATGAACTGCTTAAGAAGGATGTCAACAATGCTGCACAGTATGTTCACATTAACTACCAGGGGAATACAAAGTCCAGCAGTACAACAGATGAAGCCCCAGAACCGTGAGTATATACGTATATACTCTACTATAGGGTAACTCAGTCTGCATAATGATTCCCTACAGCCCAAATGTGGGAACCTCAACATCTCACAGCCCTATGGGCCTCCACGGCCGGGTACAGGGATAGCTTTACTTACTTTTACACATCCTCCCAGGACCATTACGTTCAGGTTGAAGTTACCCAAAATGATTTTTCTCCGAGTACTTCGGTTTCCCCTGCCAATCTTCATTTCACCAATTGCTCCACAGTCACCCTCACCTATCATCTGGGGCTGGTACAATAGGCCAGAAGTGGCCACAGTACAGGGACCCCACTAGCAATAAAAAAAATAATACCCAAAATGGTCATTCAGTCCTTTTTAATCATATTTGAAAAAATAGACATATGAATTTAGCTTTGTCAGATGTGCTTAATTAATCTAACTTTGCGTTTCCTTCCAGGCAAATGCCATACCCACAATTAGGCCATGATTTCCTCCTTCCAAATCCTTTCCAGTTCATTTATCATCATCATCATCATCATCATCATCCTACCAGCGCTATGGTATCGATGCTAAAAGCATCTCAAATGTCCCCCCCAAAATCATCCATTTCATATTCTTCTTCTCAACTAACTCCCCTCTACTTCCTTCAATATCTTCCTCTTCTTCCTTGCCCTCTCTTTCTTCTCTTCTCTTTTGTATCCTTTCCTCTTCCTTATTCACATTTGTCTTTGTCCAGCTTACTGGTGCAAGTTTGTTTTGAAAGAGATATGTAAGTTGATGCATAAATGAAACTTACCTTGTTTGCAGGCTTCTTGTGATCAACAGTCGAGTACTCCAGATTCCAACAATATCAAAGCTACGTCTGCTGTACGATAACTACATCCGTGATGTAGGTGTGAATGAGCATGTCACGCCTGCTGAGCTGTCTGAGGAGAACAGTCTGTTAGACTCATTCATGGCCACACCTGTAATGAAACACACCATGCATTTCCTGGCAGACAAAGGTACATTGTTAATTATTTCACTTGGACATCACAGAAGAACATATTGCATCCATATGGAAGACAGAAGTGCTACACTGAAGATAGGGGCAGTGTGTCCTGCAACAGAGATAACAATTTACCAGACTACAGGACATGACCTTCTACAAGATTAAAGCTTTCTTTTTTTTTAAGAATTATATTGTCTTCATAGTTCTTAAAATTCCACTTCAAATATGTTCTCATCCAACAACCTTACGAAACTTTGCAGAAAATCACCGTTGAGTAGGCCGATGGTAACAGTGTAGAGATGTAATTTGTTTCCATTTCTCTTGTTAAGTTATAAAATTAGGAACTTTCCTTTTAGAAATTAGACACGTTAAACTAGTGGTAATAGCGAGAACAGTTTTTCTTATCTGCCTCAAAATTTGTAAATTATCTGTAACAGCAGAATAAGTCACTGACTTCATGCCTCAGTCTTATTTATTCCTTGCATATAATTCCAAATATATGAGTAAGCATACATGTTATTATGAATTTAGACACTGAACTGTTTTTCTCAGAAATATATATTTATTCATCTGTTCCTGAAATTTCTTGTTGATGAAGCCTTCAAGATTAAACAATGCCACAACAAAAACATATAATTTGACACTTTTTAGGTTGTAAAGTTACACTGGGTATTGATTTTTTGGATGAGAAATCACATCGTGTTTATAAATTATATATTGCCGTGCCATAGCTCTAGTGGTTAGTCGCTGGCTTTTCACCGCGTCGGCCCGGGTTCGATCCTGGGTCTGGTCAAGTGGGATTTGTGGTGGACAAAGTGGCGCTGGGCTGGGTTTTCTCTGAGTACTTTGGTTTCCCTTGCCAATCTTCATTCCACCAAATTCTCCATCATCATAATCACCCGGGGCAGGCTACAGTACCTGTAGGTCAATCAGTGGCCGCCGTGCTGAGTGGACCCAGTTGGACTCCACCCCCCACTAAGGGAACTAAACAAAAGGGTGCAGAAATGGTTACAGCCTACTCTAAAATACAGTGTGCGCCAAAATATCAGTACTGAAACTCGCACATCTAGAACGTGCATGTGTGTTTGTCGATGGGGCATAGCTCCAGCCGCAGGTGTTCCCAGTAGTGAAAAGGAAGTTCTGTTGTGCAGTTTTTGTTGGAAATTGGTCTCTCAATGGAGGAAAAAGTACTCATAGTTGAGTATTATTTGCACTCATATGGAAGTGGTCGCCAGACAACTCACTTCCTTGGTTTTGAGCTGCCAGATGTTATCGTCCAGAAACCGCTACATAGTGCACGTATGACAATATGGAGTGCTGTCTCAGCACACGGTATATTAGGCCCCTATTTCATTGAGGATGAGGAAGGCAATGCTCTTACCGTCACCCAAGAATGTTACAGGGACATGGTGATTGGACCATTTCTTCAGGATCTGAGAAGGTTCTGTCATGAAAGGGGCCTTCACATGAATAGACAGCGGTATCAACAGGACGTCTTTTCATTTCAGTACTGAATATTTTGGCGCATACTGTATATATCAGCATTTGTCTAATGGAACCAAAAAGAACATAAAATAAATTTAGGATAGCAGGTGTCTTAGCCAGGTTTTGAATGAAACAGGAGTCTATTACAGCATAATTCCTGCTTCTGAATATATTTGTTCTGAATACATTAATGGTACCAATTAGAAGAACTGCCTAAACTTTTCTCTGCTTGCTGTACGACAACCTTTTGTTTCTTTGTATTTCAGGCTTAGTGAGTAGGGATCCTAGAGCTCAGAAGGAGGCGCTGAAACAGATCTGGTTCACCATGTATTCCCGAGGAGGTGGCAAGATGGGATCTAGTGCATTTGAACATGTGTTTCTTGGGGAGCTGAAACGGGGCGAGATTTCTGGACTGCACAACTGGATCTTCTTTGGTACTGAGGAGGCACAGAAGCAGGCAGACTACTTGGGCTACATTAGGAAACTCGAACTTGGAGGGGTAAGCTTACTTTGAGGAAAGAAAATAAGTTACAAATATTTGAAAATAAAATGCTGAGGAAAATGCTCTGACCTAAAAAGTATTTAAAGTAAACAATTTAGCAGTTTAGGTTATTACATGACAAGGAACCTCATGATTTCAGTAGATCATGTATGAGTATTGTCAGAAATGTAAACTCTAGAAGGCTGTGATGAGTTGAACATGAAAAGTGTTCATGGAAAACCTCTAGGAGAAAGGTTACTAAAAACTGAAAATTACAAGGATCTTAAGAGATATTGCAAAGTACTATCTTCTGCAATGTGTCTGGCAGAAGTTTGCTGACATTTGGGAGAAACATATTGCTTCCATCAGATTATTTCATGCTACATTATCTCATTGAAGAATATATATGTCCCTTGTTATTTCTTTCTCTAACACATATATTTGAACATTTTATCATACTGCTTTCCAGCATTGTTTCAGACTGTTTTACGCATGCATACACATGTCAAAATATTATCACTAAGAAGCAGAAGTATTTGTTCTTTGCCTGGGATAGAATTGCTATCCTTGTCAGCACCGCAATACCCATACAGTAGCTAAAACTTTAAAGAAAGAATAATGCTAAAATTAAGAAATTAAACGTTAGTTAGTTAGTTATTGGAGAGGGTGGGTTTCCCCATGCACTGAGACCTGTATTGGTCCATTGTGCTTCCCTCTATGATTTCTACCAGTCTCTATATCCTACTGGTACTGGTGCTTACCATCAGTCCCGCCCAGCCAGCGAGACCGGCTCTACTAGCTGAGAGGTATCTATAATGCTTCCCCCATCTACCAGAGGTATTAGAGATTGCTGTTGGGCGGGAAACGTCCGTTAATTTGGCTCAGTGACCTCCTTTGGAGATATGAGGTTCTTTTGCATGCCATAAAGCTACGACACAGGACCCACGGCTTAAAGTCCCTCCCGGAGGACTTGTTCCCTGAATTTTTCCGCCCTTAAAAATTTGACGACCTCTGCCGGGTATTTGAACCCGTGTACTACGAGTCATGAGGTGGGAACGTTACCTCTAGACTACGGAGGCCACTAAGAAATTAAAGGTTACTCATGGAATAATCAGAGACACAATTAGGAATGAGGGTTTGAATCACATCAGAAACTCACTATAATATTTGCATATCACCTTAACAGCTATAGCTAGCATATATATTAGAAAAAGTACAGAGTAAATTCTGTAGCATTTTTGTTTACCATGAGCTAGGTTTAATCTCCTTGGGGTAGCACATACATAAGAACCCAGAGGAACCAGCCATTTGGTAACTGAACTCAAGTATTCAACATTGATAATACGAAGTCCTGCAGTTGGACATGATCCTGAATTAGTCCAATCCATTCACATGCTTATAACCTAGTTCACTAAGATCGATATCTGTATTACGTTACTATAACCATCTCAGTTTTCGCGTGATTGTTTTGAANAACAAGATGTTATCATCTACAAAATACTTCCTGCTAAATGTTTGTTTCCCTCTGAATTTAAGTTCTTTGTACTGTATACACGTTACTTTGAAATATTTGTATAATGCTTTAAGAATACTATTCTGAGGAAATAGTTCTTGCATATGTGCAAATAGTCACCGCAGCTGAGGCACCATTAATATACTACTGCTGCTATTTTGAAAAAGGTTTCCTGACTAAAATTCCATAACCTTTTTTTGTTTTCCTTACATGACTACTACTGAAAGATAATACAATAGGAACTTTATGTTCTCATCAAATTAAGCACATAAATAAAATTGTTATTTATTTTGTTCATGTTCTAAGTATTCCTGCTGTCCTTTAGAAGAATATGTTCTGCACACTTTATGTTGATTCATTTGTAAGGAATTTCAAATTATGTTCTAGAAAGGAGCGATCTTGAAAATTCACTACAAGTGGGCCAATGTGATGAAACCTGTTGGCTCCATGTTTGTTGGTACAAGTCCTGAGTTGGAGATGGCTCTGTACACAGTGTGCTTCCTTGTGCACCCTGATCAGAAGTGTCATGTGCGCATGGCAGGCAAGCACTTCAGCATCAGAACACATACTTACCGCTACCAAAGCAAGAACGTGATAGGCAGCGCCTTCCCCGAGATATAATGCAACGTTACTTGCAACACCAATCTATGTGGGGCAATATTTATACTTATTTTCAATAAAGCAAATTTCTGAGACCATACATTAGTCTCATATACTACAACATTTTATTTATAGGTAAGTCAGAATGGTGAAGGCTCAAATTAGAATTGTCATTATTTTCATCATAACCTGCTACCATGACGTTGCTCACTGATAATTTATGCTCATTAACACTGAGGAAAATGTGGATATAGCCATAATCCCACCAGACCTGCAGTGAAAACAAACAGTTGCCTTAATTCAACTGTCCAGTGGACACAATCTCCATGTTTTACACATACAAAATTATCATTATTTGAAAGCCATGTCTGCCCATTATATATTCAGAATGTCAGAGAACTTAGCTTAAAGCTCTCTCAACATTACTGAAAAACCAGACTGAAACTAGAGAGTTCCTGACAATCCCATTTTATTGTTGCATTTGAACATCTGACACATTGAATATTTTGTTTCTAAATTGCGTTCATTTAACACTTCCATGACAACCTAAAGTTTGAACTTTCAAGAAGTACTGATATATGGCTTGAACTGAGTAGAAGAGGACTGCAGAGAGCTCTTTCTTTTTTAGCTGATACTGACACACACTAGATATCTGTTTTAAGGGCAATATAGGTCACATTTAACAAGGAAAGGGTTAAAGACAGGCGGAAGAAAAAATTACTTAAGCTAGATATTTCTTGTCAGAAAATACATGGACAAAAGCATAAAATGAGGCATCAGCATTACATTTTACATCATATCAAATAATGAAAGTAGATTCTTCATTGTATCATTGTCTGTATCTGACAACCCTAACTTCAATGCACCTTGTCCTTCCTGCATGGTTTTAATTGCCGAAGTTCTTACTGTAGTGCATTATCAAATGGCATTACTTGTACTGGCTTCCCACCCAAGATAACCATCTGCCTCAAGGAGACCTGAGAAAGTCGTTAGTTGTCCTTGAAAGTTGGGCCTGGATGATGTATACAATGAACAAGATAATTTACCCACTAAATCATTCCCTGAAGATGGAGGTAGAGGACTCTGAAATGTTCAATTCTGACTATAAATTGATGTGGACTGTTGCCTGAGAAAATTTTATGATTTTATCATTCTTTGTCACTTTGAAAGCTTAGATGTATGTTCCATTTAATGTTAATAACAATAAACAATAAACAATAAGTTATAAATATTCATACAGTTATTGTGTTTCTGGACATTATTCATCATCCTGTTTTTGTTTACAACACACAACATTTCAGTGACTGGGGTCTGTCTCCATCTTCAGGTGGAACCTGATCAGTATAAATATTGTTAAGAATGCTATTTTGTCTTTCACAAACCATTTATATAGTTGTATTACAACACAGCATATGGACAATAAGCTGACTGACAATCAGTCATACTCTCTATAAAATACATTTTGTAGATTTAATGAAAGTTATACCACAAAAATACATTTTAATGCACTGGTATTCTTACTGTTATTTTTTTTACATTCTTCATTAATAAAATTTGGATTTATGGTTATACAATGTGTTTTTCATTTTTGGGTGTTATGAAGTGACATTTTCCATGCAGTATATAAATGTCAGAATTCTGGGTTTACTGACCTTATGATAGTCTTACTAAACTTTTTATCTATCTCCAATGGGTTCAAGTGAACTCTAAGGTCAACTACTACCATTCTTCAAAACACTGAACATAACTGACACTGAGTACTCTGTTGACCATAATATCATACAACAAATTATAGCAAACACATATGGTTGTATGTTTTGCAAGTAGATAATATATGTGACACATGTGCCACCATCTTGTGAAGCAAGATATACTGACTATAGTATTTTGCATGTGTGACAGGAAGAATGATTTAGAGACAGGTGGTAAAATAGGTGAAAGAATATGTTTGAGATCTTATTTTTGAGACTAGGCCAATATGCCAGATGTGTAAGAAAGGGTGTCAGATTTAAACCATGTCAGACAGTGTTGTTTAAATCTGTTCTGTCTGACAATAGAGGCTATTCAAGGTCAGCATGTTTCCATGCAAGGTTATGTCTACCCAGGCTTCATGATTGTTATGTAAGGAATTACCATAGTAATTTTGGTGTGTATGGATTCTGTCCACGCAAGGGAAACACACATAAAGGTAGGTATAAACTAAAGTACTTTTCAAAGATCTAAGACTTCCTGTTTCTAATTTAGAACAATTTATAACAGCGATCATGTTAAAAATTCTTCCAATGCATGGATTATCCACTGCTGGATTACAGCCAATGATGAAAAACTTCTTCATCTTCTAATATTATTTCTGTTGTGAATCAGTGGATTAAAATTTCCATCCTCTTATTTCTTCACATTCTTTATATTCAATTTCTTTCCAGCCATGTCCTTTCTCACTGGTGTCTTCCGGAACCTTACTAAACCAACTTGTTCTGAGTGTGTCCCTTATGTCTCCTTCCTTGAAACTGAAATCCTTAGGCCTTTTTCAGCATTCTTTTTCTTATCCATTCTTTTTAACGTGGCTAAACCATTGCAATCACTTATCTTCTAACATTAAGTGACAAATTTTGAATTCCAGCTTCTCTGAAAGTTTAATTTTTACTTCAATCCCTTATTGTTTTCTTGAAGTACATCTAGATATTTGCATATCAACTGTTTGGATTTTGCTTGTTTCTGTTCATAATGATCCATGTTTTGGCATTATATGTTGGTATCATTGTACCCTTCTAGATTGTTATTTTATATTATTTTGGGTCCCTATGTTCTGTAACATTTCATTCATAGTTTTGTGTCTGGTTTCCTTGAAATTTCCATAATCGCTGTCTTATGCAACTTATTTTCAGTCTGTGTTCCTTTATAATGAGGTTCTATTATCATAGTTTGTCTTCAATTTCCATTTCACTTTTACTAAATTCAATATGTTATCTGCATATACTCGTACGTGTATTAATGCTTTCATGAAAATACTACCTTTATGTAACACATCAGTGGGAGTTCCTCTTGCAATAAATTCAAATAGTTGAAAATAAAATATTAAATAAACTATACAGACCTAAGTGAGATGAAATAAATGGAGATGGAGGATTTTAACAATGTGTTTATATTATGGAACCTTGTTCAGAGCCTAAAAGTTGGCTATTTAGATATTTTTAATTTTACTGCTGGAGGTGAAATGAGCTTGTATATATATATTGTAAGTATAAATCTTTAGCCATCAGCAAACATGGCTGGATTAATGTCAACAGCAAGGATGACCACCAGGTTGCCCACAGGCCATGTCCAACCCATGATGGAGCAGTTTTTTCCACTGCTGATTAATTTTTAATACAAGGACAGACATTTATATGAAATAGCAGCAGTTCTAATTCCTGACATGTTTTTTAGAGGTCCAAAGGAACATGAAGATTAAAGATAATATCAGATATTGCAGTCACACAGTGAACTTCGTTTGTAAGATGGTAATAATTCCTTGTGTTTCTGGATGGCTTCCAGCACTTGTTAGAGTCTGTCTTATGTTAACGTCAGTAAACATGTCCGTGAAATTCTTCTGACTTATGAGTAGGATCTTTTTCAAGTCACAAGTGATTGTTGAGTTCATGTAACAGACCAATGATGTCCTTCTTTACAGTTTCTTCTGATGCACTAGAATCCAAGATAAAACAAAGTAATTTCTATAGATTTGTGACAGCTTACCGTCAACATGGGCACAAAAAGGCAAACATTAATCCTATTGCCATTACAGATGAGAGGTTTGTTTACATGTATAAATATTATTACTTTATCATGAAACTCAACTCTTCAACTTATTCACAGTCTGAAGTAACATATACTGAAATTGACTTTATTATGACATCATGATAAACAAAGCCTTAACTTGAATATCTAAAGCCAATTAAATTGGTGTTGTAGTTCAAGATATTATGGTTATGGGACAAGTGTGACTAATTGATCGGTTCCTTAATAATACACTACTTTCTAGCAGAGTACCATCTTCTGGGACCTGACACCATGTAGTCTAGCAGATGTTAGTTACATATTGGAGGAATATGCCTCTGAAATGTTGGTAAACTTCCACAGACTACATGGCAGCACATTCCAGAAGATGCTATTCTTCATAATGCCTGCCACAAGAATCTCAAATCTCACATAACTATTTTCAATTTCAGCTGATAAAAAAAAATGAAATAAAAATAGGCAAGAAAAGTCCTTAAGTTATGATATTATCCCGAGTTTGCATATTATGGGAATAAAATATTGTGTATACTTCAGTCAGTGGCTTCTTCATATAGTTTTTACTAGTTCATGATTCTAGAGTGGAAGATTAATTAGTATTTAGAGGACATAACACCAAGAGATCCTCTGACAGACATAAACTGTATTTTGAGCTATTAGGATATGTTTACATGAGCAGAGTGGTATGTTGCAGCATTGTACCAGAGATTGAACTTGGCTACTACGGACTCAAAGAAAATGACAGGTTTACATTCAGTGGGATTCTGTATGCACCAATTGCAGAGGGTACAGTGGCTGATGCAATCAGTTTTCTACAGAAGACTTACAGTAACACCATGAGTGCAGAATTCAGTTACCTTGAGGTATTTTTTCTATGAAGGGTGATTCATTTGAATATGGATAAAAGTAAAGTGCAGTAAATGGTACATCTCTTGTCTGTTGCGTGTTAATAAAACGTGTTTGTTACTGTACATGTGCAGCTTGTGAGTCATGGGATATCTAACAATTATGAGTGCACAGCAGCTAGTAAAGTATACCCTGTGTCTTACTTGTTTATGCATGTTATGCAAGCAAATGGAGTTGCATGTAATTTAAACAGGTTGCTGTTTTAGGGTGGGGCAATATTTGACATCAGTGGGAGAGTGAACACTCAAAATGCCAGACATAAGAGCACCACAGCTTTCTTGCAAATCGTAGTTGTGTTGCTAAATGACATGTGGGAAGAACTGGCCTCCTTTTGTAAACTCTGTTGTGTCCTCAAGAGGACACACACTGATGAATATATCTACAAACTTTTGTAGGCTATCTGTGCCAAATACTAAGGAATGAAAGTTAACAGAGCATAGCTCAAAATATTTTACTTCTATCTATATCTGAACAGGGGATACGCAGTAGGATAATTGGTTGAGGCACTATGTTACAAGCCGGAAGGTTGTGGGTTTGATTCCCAATGAGATCATTGGATTTTTTAGTTGACCTAATCCTTCAAGCTGCACTATGGTCCTGGGGTCGACTTAGCTTCCAACAGAAATGAGTACCAGGAATTTTCCTGGGAGTAAAGGGTGGCTGGTGCATTAGGCTGACATCGCCGCCATCTGTGAGCCAACTGTCTGGAAAACGTGGGAGCCTTGACGTCTCACCGCCTTATGGGCCTCCATGGCCTGTTACAGGGATAGCTTTTATATCAGAAGAAGTCACACTGTACTATGAATCAACCACACTGACATTCATAGTGTTAGAACATCATAATCTTAGCCATGGCTTTTCTGCTCCTTGTGGTGTGAAATGAGAAAGGGCATTTTCCAGTAGTTAGCATTACACTTCATAGGTCTGCATGTGTTTCCTTCTTCCTGACCATGCCTATCTTAATCTAATATTTTGATCAGAACTGTGTATATTGTCAACATTATTGCAATAAGCACAGAAAAACAAATGTGTATAGGAGAATTTGGAAAATTTCAGGATGCAGAAGAGGTGGAATGGTTTGCACAACAAATGGAACAATCAGCAGTGGAAGAGCTTGACCGTGACACAAGGAGAAACCTGGCTAAAGAAATGCTAAAATCACAGGCATTTGACAATTACCTAGCCACTAAGTTTGTAACAGTGAAGAGGTATGGAGGAGAAGGTGCAGAGAGCATGATGGGATTTTTCACGGAATTTTTTAACACATCAGCAAATGGTACATACAGAATACTGATTTGTGAGCTGTTATGAATACGGAAAGAAAAAGTAGGCCATGTCATACCTGATGCCTAGAATCATTTACTGTTTTTCAGCATTCACCAAAAAATAACTTTAAAGATCAGCACCATTAATAAAAACCTCCCTAATAAAGCCTATCAAGAGACTTAAATTCCTATTTCACAACCTACCTCACCAACACCACTTTTAATACTACCTTTTGTTCTCTTTCTTTGCCTTCCAACTTTCCATTTCCAAGAGAGTTTTGTGTACAAAATTTTATGTCCATACATTTTCAGATTATGTTTCCCTTGATTTAATTATTGTAATAATCCAGAGTGGAACATATTAGTCATGAAGCAAATACTCTGTTTTCTTTTCTCAGGGTAACAGACATTGTTTCACAACCATACAAAATAAAGGTAACATGTGATTAATGTGTAATAATGTTTAGCAACTATAAGCACTAATGGAAATACAACAGTCTTTAGCCCCATAATAATTCACTTATGAGAATATTACCCAGTGGTAGCTTGTCTGGCTTTTATCTGAGAAATATACAATCCAAGTCTATCTTTACAGATCTTTGATGGTTTTCCTTAATTTTCTCGGACAAATGCAAATATTGTACCTTAAAAGAAATAGTCTTGCCCATTCTCATATCTCACAAGATGATAAATATCACTTTGTATTTAATACGACAATTCTATAAAAGATATCAATCAATAACAGTTTTTAAGACAGAAATATTAATCACTAATCATTAATTATTTTCCGCGAGTTAAGATTCCATTTCATGTTACTGTAAAAACATTGTTTACAGATTATGTTTCAATTCACTCATTTTACTGGTTTGGTAACCTAAACGTTTCCATTAATTTATCTTCTTCTTCTTGTAGAAGAGTTTCCATTTTATATGGGTTTATGGACAGAAAGTTTCTAATCACTTTTATCTTCCCACAATCCTTCCTTTCAAAGGGACAATTTCCACATCCTAGGCTTTTTACCTGTATGGATATATGGAAAATAAAGGAAACAAATGAATGAATTTCTGATTCATTATCAGTTATTTTTACATGGGGAAACCATTGGAGTTGTTTCTGTTCCATCTCTATAAAAAATGTTGTATTATAACTTCTAAGATTTCTAATTCTATCTTTTATTTCTCCCTCTTAGTATTTTTTTTTTAAAAAATCATATCCACTACTTGCATTTTGCTCTTCCCTCTGTAAGCATCCATGTTCTGGTGCTAAATGGTTAATTTGATTTAAATTTCATAAGCTGGCGTGGAACAGGTGATAATGTGTATGCCTCATCGTGGGCGCCTGAACCTCCTTACTGGAATGCTTCTGTTTCCTCCGGCCCAACTCTTCAGAAAGTTGAAAGGGATATCAGAATTCCCAGAATATGTTAAAGCTACTGGAGATGTTCCAAGTCACTTCAGTAAGTAAAGTACTGATTTTAGACAATATTAAAAATCAAGATTATAGTGTTCTAAGTTGTGACACCATATAGTTTGGTACATGGCTACTAGCACTTTGGAAGAAGACAGTGCTTTCATCTTCTAACCTAAAGATCAAAGTAGCAGGCTCCTCCAGCACATTGGCACCTATCTACCAAACTACAAGACGTGACATCCCAGAAAATTATAATACTCCCCCGTCAGAATCTCAGATCACAAATTTTAAAGGCTTAATTCTCTCTGCGCCACTATTTGAAGTAATCTCTAATTATCATATTAATTTTTCAGCATCTTCTGTTGATCTCACCATTAATGGGAAAACACTTCATGTAACAATGGTGCCAGGACCTTCTCACTTAGAGGTATTACACTCAATTAAGTTGTGAAAATGTTGTGAAATGTAACAGTGTTGGATTGTCGATGCTCTAAAATAGCGCACGTGATGATCTAAAGGTGGGCTGGACATCGAGTGCTGTATAAATACGAGTGGTGGCAGTAACGTGCGGCAATGTGATATTGACTAGGAGTGACTGCTGTCTGTTATACTGGCAAAACCGCGTGTTAGTATGTGGGATGTTCCCACAACAGTTTGCAGTGTATAGCCTGGCTTTATTTGCTTCAAAACATAAAGAATGAAATTAATTTCAAGGGTGGCAGCCCACTTTTGTGAATTTCACTTCAAATTAATGCAAGTTCCAAACTGTGAATTAGGCCATGGATGTTCATATATAGATTTTTAGCTCTAGATACATGAGAAAGAAGTCTGCGTCTTTCTAGAAGAAGCATCACAGTGGCATTTTCACGTTTATATGGGTCGTCTCATTGTATATTACAATAACAGGCTATAATATACAGTGAATGACTGTTAAGTAGGATCATGTTCAGTGGCATGCATTTGTGAACAAAATAATTAACCTTTTGGCTTCATAGCAGCTGGGAATATTTTTGCCAGCTGAGTGACTAAGGTTTTCAAGAATTCTACTCCATGGATTTATTATTATTAACTGAACACCTGATCTTCAAGCTGAAAGACTGCCCATTTAGTCTCTTTGTGACTACTTATTCAACATATCCACAGTACTCCGCATGTCTGAGAGATGTTTCTTTGAACCACAGCTGGCTTAATATTCAATCCATTAGTGACACTTCATGTTAACAGTATGGAACATTTAAATTTTAATCTCTGAAAGTTTAATTACCACCTTAGAAAGCAACTGGTGCTATTTACAGGCAGCAAATCCAGTGTCCATGGGTAAAACAAGAGCCCGACAACAGACACTAAAACAGGGAGGATATTGCCAAATACATTCTGCTGAGTGGAATAACAAAGTTCTGAACTTGCAGGTGAGCCTGACATGAATATGTTTGGGGTAGGGGTGTGGGGGGCCTATGATGACAACACTGGGTATGGTATAAAATCAAGAAGGATGAAATGGGCACAGCATGCAATATTTTGGTTTGAACCCTGAAGGGATGAGACCAGTTGGTAAATCTACGATAGCCAAATGAACGTGGAGGTGTAAATTCATTGTGGGTACGAGTAACAATGATAATTATTATCCTTGCATGACATAACATTGTGCATCATCAGGTTCATGGTGATGCAGCTTTTAGTGGTCAGGGAGTGAATCAGGAAACGCTAGAACTAAGTATGGTTCCACACTTTGAGGTCGGAGGTTCAGTCCATCTGGCTGTCAACAATCAGCTGGGCTTCACAACTCCGCCTGACAGGGGACGATCATCCAGATATTGCACTGACCTTGCTAAGATTATCTCAGCTCCAGTTCTACATGTCAATGGCGATTTTCCAGAGGTAGGTTTGTTTGATGCATTTTAAATTTTATAATCATATAGGCCTAACATAAATTAAGGCTTATTAGTGCCTTAAAATAGCAGAGAGACAACTTTAACTTTCTACTTGGAATACAAATGCTTCTTTTAAATACTGTATTACGTGAGGACTATTACGTTCTGGGATGTAATGCTATGTAGTCCAGTTGTAAATCACGGACTTTTCAAAGAAAATATTTGGTGTCTCCTTCTTGACTTACTCTTTGGCCCTAAAGATGAAGGGATGAAGGCAGTACATTCCTCAAACACATTGGTGAACTTCCACAAGATTACGCATCATCGCATCAAAGATTCCTCATAGTCACCACTGTCAGGACCTCAAATCCAACCGTATTACTTACTGTACATATTTAGAATGCTATATTGGAGGTTGGGCTGGTTTTTCGAATTGGCTCTATTTGTGATAAACTGAGCACTTTTATTTGTTTTTATAACATATTTAATATATTTTTTTCCAGATGGTGGTGAAAGCAACTCGTATAGCTTGTGAATACCAAAGAAAATTCCACAAAGATATATTTGTTGACCTTAACTGTTACAGACGGTGGGGACACAATGAGCTGGATGACCCTACTTTTACAAACCCAGCTATATACAATATCATACAAGCTCGGAGGTAATGCTGCAAATATGTCGCAAAATATGAAGGAAAATACAATATGTTGCCTTTTTTTGATGAACTGTACTTTTAAGCTTATGATCTTCTTGCACATAATGCTGTGTAGTTCAGTAGGCAAGCACCATTGTTTTGGAGGACCCTACTCACTGCTTTCAGGGTAGCTCTATCTACCAAACCACACAGTGTCACATTACAGAAGACTATAGCTTTAATATTCACTGCCATGAGAACTTCAATGATCATAAAGATCGTTTCATTAGGTTTCCTAATAAAAATTTTGTAATCATTCTTAAAGATGGAGTGAGACATAATCCATCTGTATGTCCCCCATTTATTAAAGGGTTTATTTATCCATTCTTTCTTATAATTATCATAACCTTGCCCTCTTAAAGCTTACTTTGCACAACATTCAGCATGATTGATTACATATGTTCCTATAGTTCATCTGATTTATCTGTAAAATAGAACTGTTCCAGATATGTATGCAGATGTCCTAGTGAAGGAAGGTGTAATGACTAAGGAAGAGGTCGAAAGAATTGTTGCTGAACATTCAGGATGGCTGAATGATACATTAAAATCTATGGATACATATATTCCCCAGGTAACAAATAAATAATTTAGATACTGGAAATTATTAGTTAGAGAAATTACAATCTCATTACATATCACAGGTCACTCCTTACATCCCCACACAATGGGTTAAGATTCATTTGAATATTATGCTACCATATATAATCTCTTCCCTTCAGGTTTTCCAACCAAAATTCTGTACTCATTTCTTATCTCTCCCATATGTTCCACATACCCTGATCATTTTTTCCTTTGATTTTAGAAAGAAAAAGAAAAACAGGTAAAATAAATAAGTTGACTACAAGAATAAAATATTTGGCCTATATCCATTTAGTCAATTAAAGGTCCAGAACAGCAATAATTATTAAATTTTAAATTTGTATAAAGCCCACTGAAATTTCATTGGATATTGTTGCTGTTATCAACATCATTGAATGTGGAACTTAAAAATCTTTTTGAGAAAAACATGTCCAGAATTTACTGTCCAGAAAAATAAATTTGTCAAAAACAGCTGACCTCACTAACTTGAAAGGTTCTGGAAATGTATACTAAGGCACTGAACTATGTAGACTAAGAGTATGTACCAAGTGGTACTGCTGTCTAGATGTGAACACTACTATAGCAACTCAGACATACCCTCCACTGCCATACTCTGCTCCTGTTTGTAACTGCTAACACATATAATGACAGAATAGCAACCATTATCTTTTTAAATACAATGATACCCATCCATTAAATAAAAATTCACATCTTCCTTTCTGCTACAAAACATTTCAAGAAGATTTTTCCATCAGTCTTTCATTTCGCTTGGATGTGCATCCTATCAGAGTATCCATTTTTCTTGTGTTATAAACAACCATATATTTTCATGGGAGGTCTTCGTTTTTACTGGCGCTACAACCTTGTGAGGGTCTTGGCCTCCTCCATGGTTCTCTCAAGGTTTCGTATCAGTAAGTATTTCTGGGGTGGGCTTATTAGTCCCACGCCCAACTCCCAACCTGGAGGACCAGGGGCTGCACTTCATCTGGTCCCTAATTTCTGAGCTGTCTGGAATGGGTGGTCCTGCCAGCATAGCCTTCTGGGTCACTGAGGCATCAAGATCTCCTCTATGATAACACGGTAGTCTCCAAGAAGATTAGCTCAGAAATAACCACATCCAAGGAGTCATTTCCATGTTGACTGAAGTTTCATATTTTTTTTTGTCCCAAGCCATCATTATTTTTTATATTTTCTGCCCCAGGCTAAAAGATGATATATATATGCTATTTTTAACCTGTTATGAACTATCATACACTGACAGATTTTGTGGTACCCATAAGCTATAGTAAACCTACTCTCTTAGAGACCGTATGCAGCAAGACGATATATCCAAGCATTACAGAATGGACACTGCTGACCTCCATCCATGGCACAAGGTAAAATAGGGTCTGCAGCAGACACAAGTGACCACCATGGCATGATGTAAAGGGTCTCTAGTGGACACCAGTGACCACAATGATAGCACAGTCTTGAGATATCATAAGTATGCACTTCCCAAATATTTTTTCCCTCATTCAATGATTAAAGTTTTTTAGTATTAAACATGTGCAAAAAAATGTGATCTCAAACAGAATTCAGCAATGGGATATATGACATATTTGCTTGATCTATGGGTCATGATTGCAGGAAAGTTTTCTCAGGAAGCACTGGGCAGGAATCCACCAGGCTGATGCTGCTCTTACAGTGTGGGACACTGGGCTAGAGTCGGACATACTCAGATATGTTGGGGAGAAATCAGTCACTTACCCTCAAGATTTTGTAAGTCTATTATTATTTCCTAAATGCATATGACATCATCTATAACATAAGAGATGGTGCAGAATATAAGGAGTGAACTACTTCATACTGTTGCACTTGTCAAAATAAGAACTCTTCCAGATGTCATGTAATTACATTACGATGTATTTTACAGTATTCTGTTATCATAACAGCTATTTTTGAGAAATGTGAGGTTCCCACAGCAGTGAGTGCTAAGATTATGGTCTTGTGGGATGTGACTTCACTGTAGTCTGGTAAAGAGGTACTAACCTCTTGGAGGACCCTGCTGCCTCTGTCTTCAGGGTAGAAGAAGGGGTGAAGATGGAGGCAGCACTTACATACTTACAATCACATAAAAACATTATATTTTTCTGTACGAAATGGGAATAAGAGGAAATAATATGTCTCTATTTGGGGGGGGGTGCATTTTTAAAGAATATTCCTGTATAGAACCTCTTAGGACATGTGATGTTGCTTGTTTCCTGGTTTTATGATATTTTTGCACAGAGGCAAGATAACCCATAGCATTACCCTTTGCTTAGCACTATCAGGCTTTCACTTCTACATGGACAGTTCTTTAGTTTCCTTCAAATAATTCAAGTAAAAACTGGGTAAAGTTTCAGAACAATTTATAATTTGCCATTTTGTAACTCAAATAAGCCCTGTGATAAACGACTGCCTCTAAAGACCTTACAGCAAAGTGTGACATGTTATGATGACTCTCACTCTCTCAGCTCATTATGGGTTTACATTTCAGAATATCCATCCTCATTTGCTGAAAACTCATGTCAGTCCACGTTTGAACAAAATCTCTACTGGAACTAAAATTGACTGGGCAACAGCAGAGGCTCTTGCTATGGGATCGCTTCTTTACCAAGGTAATAACATTTATATATGTTCATGTTGTCGTTATTTCTAAAGAAAATATAATATTGATAAAATCTTGAGCTATCGGCCATGTCATTTGGTTAAAAATTACTGATGTTCCAGGGACTGTCTCTGACCCTATCAGACTCTTAAATGTCAGTAATTTTTAACCAACTGGCATGGCTAATAGCCCAAGAACATTTTATGAACTTCACAGTCACCATGAAAGCTTAATATCTTGAAAGTTTAACATTACTTTCACTTATTTCAGATCAGTATTTCATAAAATAATGAAACCCTTTTCTTATCATATATTCAAATTATAATTTTTGTCATTTTTAATGTAAATAAACAGAACAAGTGTGTGTGTGTGTGTTAGTGTAAGTTGTAATAATTCAGTGGGCACAGTGACTGCCTTTGGATTGAACAACCAGGGTCTGATGACTGGCAGACCAGCTCCTGTCCAGTGGGTATTGTGTACTCTTTTCCTGGGATACATCAGCTTGAATGTGAAGTTTACTTTCATCTAGTTTTGAGATTAAGAACGCAAAGAAATTTATGACTTCATTCATTTAGTTACGTGTGTACATGGTATTAGGTCGTTTATCCAAGGAATCCGTCCAGGTCCGAGGCTTTGTGTTCATTTTCATAACATAATGATTTTTTATGGTGAGGAGAAAACTGCATAATGAGGAGCTTCATAACTTGTACTCTTCTCCAAGTATAATTAGAATGATCAAGTCAAGGTGGATGAGGTGGGCAGGTAATGTAGCATGAATGGGGGAGGCGAGGAATGCGTATAGGATACTGGTGGGAAAGCCAGAAGGAAAGAGACCACAGGGAAGCCCAAGGCATAGGTGGGTGGACAATATTAGAATGGAGAAAGACAGGATGGGATGGGATGGATTGGATAGATCTGGCTCAGGATAGGGACCAGTGGAGGGCTCTTGTGAACACGGTAATGAACTTTCAGGTTCCATAAAATGATGGGAAATTCTTGAGTAGCTATAGAATTGGTGGCTCCTCCAGAAGGGCTCAACTCCATGAGTAAGTAAGTAAGTGTACATGGTATTGTTTAATGAATTATTATCTTATTCTTACTACATTAGATGCAATTAAATAAAAATTTGTTATTTTTCAGGATATAATGTGCGAATCAGTGGTCAGGATGTTGGAAGAGGAACATTTTCTCATCGTCATGTTATGTTAGTTGATCAAAAAACAAACGAAATGTACATTCCCCTGAATAATTTGATTGATACACAGAAAGGCTATTTGGAGGTTTGTATAATATGTTTTCCTAGGAGGCATATATTTTCATATTTACTTTAAGGTTCTCTCTTTTTATAGTGCTGAAAACATCTTGTAGTTTTTCAGGTTAAATCGTAGTGAGTGCAAAGATTACAATTTTTTGCTATAAGACGCTACATAATTCAATGGATACCTGCCATTGTTCTGGAGGAATATGTTGCCTCCTTCTTTAGGATAGAAGAAAGTGAATCCTGTTATTATTTACAAATTAATTATAAACAAGTATTTTTTTTCCAAAATATTAACAATCAGTATTTATAAAACAAAAATTCTGTCAACTGTTACGTTTGGTTATGAAATGAGATCTCTTATATTTTGAGATAAGGACATAAATTTTGAGTCTCTGAAAGAAAAATGCTCAGGAAAATGTATGGCTGTAAGTAGAAGGAATTAAATAGAGAATTCAGAACATTATATAACACAGAACATTGTGATTTTTACAGGTTACATAATATTGTTCTTGCAATGAAATCTAAGAGGCTGCAATGTGTCTTCATCACTTCATAAGGAATGCATTACTGATATGTTTTATTGTCCTGCCAACAAATAACAGTACACAAAAATTCTATAAAGACTAACTTCACTACAAAAGTCTCATATGTCAGAAGTGAGTGTTACACTCATACATTCCAGAACATTTGGTCAGAAGGACATCTTCATATTATGTGAATTCTTATAAGAGAAATAAGATGTGATAAAATCATCTTGGGCACCCAGACGCATCAATTTGAAGTCTAAGTTCAACTCCAAATTGACATGTCTGGTTGACGCAGAAGAATTTATCAGTTTTAGTGGCTGTGAAAGCTTCAATTCTTTTTATAAATAAAATATTGATATAGGATTTTGGTACCAAAAGTGGTAAAAGTGGTAGTCTGAATGAGATAGGAAGATAACGCTGAAATGGAATTCATGACGCTAGGATTTGTTAATGTGGATTGGTTTCAGCTGAACCAGGATCATGTCCAGATGCAGATTTTCCTTAATTATGTTGAAACTATAGTTCCTGAAACCACTCAAGTTGAATTGGTATATATTAGGAATGTCCTAAATGAGGGACACCTGTATGCTGATTCTCTGCAAAAAAAATTGCATCATCATTGTACTTACAGACACTTAAAAGTGAACAAATATTTGTCACGTTGAAATATGAACACTATGTAATACTTTTCACAACTTGTATTACTGAATACAAAATTCTATTCTTTGCAGGTTGCAAACAGTATCTTATCAGAAGAGGCTGTATTAGCATTTGAATATGGAATGAGCATTGAAAATCCAAATAACCTCATCATATGGGAAGCTCAGTTTGGTGATTTCTGTAATGGGGCCCAGATTCCCATAGACACCTACATTGCAAGTGGAGAAAGCAAGTATAATCCTATACGCTATATAGAGTGTCTCAGAAGGAAAGGTTAATATTTTGGGAGGTCATAGTATCGATCATTCTAAGCAAAAAACTCTATATGTACATGTGTCCTATTCCGAACAGACAGAGCTATTTCGGTGTATGGGAATATCAAGATGCACTCAGACAAGCAACATGCTATGTCCTCACACGAGTTGCAAAGTACAGTTATATTGATGGTGGAATTTTCGAAAATGTATTATACTAGGTGAACTGTACCAAATTTGTCACTTGAATAATAAATATGGGTGTTAGAAACAGTACGTAATATCTCTTTCTTATTTATAATATTGGAACTGTACGGTGAAATAGCAATAATGACTAGTAATAATGAACTGGAAAATATTTGGGAAGAAGTGGTTGTGACCTAAATTGAGATGTTACCACCTTTACTTGGAAGATCTGAGTAAAAACAGAAAAACTTTTTCAGAACATTATCCTGGAATTTGTGTGGAGGGACTGAGGGAAAGCCACAGATATCTCAGTCAGGATAACCAGACTCTGGGTTGAGAGACCTCCTGTCTACAAAGCAAGAGTGTTACCCATTTGACCATGATGTTCACTTAAACTTCATCATTTTTCTCAAAAATGACAAATTAGTTGTATGTTATAAAATATGGGTCTCATTTAAGATCTATACAAATTCTACATGTGTAAGTCCAAACTTTTAAATTAGTCTCAGAGAATCCGAACTGATCCCGCTTCTAACACCAGCTGTCACGTGTTGGGTGTCACACGACAAATAAATTCACGTGGGTCTCGGATTCAGCGAATCTTTATTGGACATTCACTCTTACACACGATACAATTGTTATCACCTGTGTTATCAGGTTCAATATTTTTGAACTTGGGTGAATATTTAACTAGATGAAATGGAAATTAGTCTCTGATTCAATATAGTGTGATATCTGTATTGTGATTGGTTTTGAAATAATAGTTCTGTATTTGCAATAAATGAACATCAAGGTCAATGAGGTGTGCAGAAACAGAAGGAAGGACGTACTCCACTGGAATGTATTTTCTAGTTCTTATTACCCTGTTTCTGAGTTCTGGAATTTCAAAATATGCTGTCTCATACTGTATGCCTGTTGCAGCAAAATGGATGATATGTAGTGGCTTGACAGTGTTGCTACCACATGGGTATGATGGTGCAGGGCCAGAGCACAGTTCATGTCGATTGGAACGCTTTCTTCAACTGAGTGACTCAAATGAATCTAAGCCAGATGGTGATGATGTCAACATACATATTGCAAATCCTACCACTCCAGCTCAATATTTCCATCTGCTTCGAAAACAGGTTGGTGTGTGTTTAAAATATACTTATACAGACCTTAATTTTTGGTATCTTGGGAAACATCACCTTAACTATTGTTTTATTTACTGAAATCCTAACAATAATTGTGACTGGCGACTGTTTTGTTAAACATATGGCAGTGGGCAGCAGTCTGTCTTTAATAATTATAAACATTGGGTTATTGTGGGTGATATTTTGTTAACTGCAGACTGTTTTAGTGAAAGGATATTTTAATATTTTGTTTGCTTTATGCTTCGTTTTCATATTTATTTTTTATGTATTTTCTCCTCGTGGGAGGATTACATACATGATATATGCTGAAGAGGGGGCACGCGGTAGCGTAGTGGTTAAGGCACTATGCTACAAGTTGAAGGTCGCGGGTTCAAATACCGATGAGGTCATTGGATTTTTTTCAATTGACCTAATCCTTCTGGCCGCACTATAGCCCTGGGGTTCACTCAGCCTCTAACAGAAATGACTACCAGGAATTAAACAAGACTGACAACCTTACCGCCATCTTTGAGCCGATTGTCTAAATAATGTGGGACCCTCAACGTCTCACAACCCTATGGGCCTTCACGTCCTGGTACAGGGATAGCTTTACTTTTTTTATATGCTAAATAAGATACTCTTTTTGGGCCATTGTTCTTTAAATATTCATTTTTCATGAAACAAAAATAAAGATAGTGTTTATTTTGTTTACATATTGTCTTTCTAAACGTATATTGAAGGTATTCTAGTTCAAACATATGCATTTTGGTTGTTATGGTTACAGATCATACAAAATTATAGGAAGCCTCTTATTCTTGTGACTCCCAAAACTCTGTTGCGGTTACCAGAGGCTACTTCAAGCCTTGCAGACATGGGACCGCACACCTCATTTGTACCAGTTATAGGTAAGCTGAAATCATGTACATCAACTTTCCTCACATCCAGGAATGTTTTCATGGCACATCTGCAACTAAAGCATTCCCCAAACCTGAAGATGGTTGTGTTCATTCCAGCATTATTTTGGTCTTCCTGAATGTCTCTGCTTTTAGCTTTATTTAGCAAGAACAATTAAGCATCCTCTTGCCCATGTTTTATGTCAAACTATGCTTGCATGTTTGTACAATGTTAAAAAGTGTTGGATAAGTTTACTACTGCTCTTACTTTGGCGTTACTTTAGTGATGTATTTTAATGAATTCCAAAATCATCATAATCACCATCATCATTGACAAAACAGTCTTTTTTGAGGTTCTGTCCCTTCTCCTATCGTCTTTCTTGATGGGGGCTGAACTTGTGCCACCTGTATCTTGAGAAGGAGATTCTTGGTATCATCCTGTGTTTGTTTGTAGCATGCTGTGTTGTTTTTACTAAACTAAACCTACTTTGTTTGTAAATTTTAACTTAAATAACAAAGTTTTAAAAACTTTAAAAATTTTAATATACCAAGAAAGCTGCTGTAGTTCTGGAAAAGTTGGATTTTGTATATATTGTGCATTACAAACATTGTATGTATATGTATTTTAACACTCAAAACACCCATTGTGATAGTAGTTTCTAAAAAAGTATCAATGTCCCTCTGATGATGGTCTATAGGGACTGAAATATGTAAGGCTGTTAAGTTTTCAAGTAGTAAAGACTTCAATAGTCACACTGGACCGAGTTGTTTTGTCTTTGTAATATTTTAATTAGTTTATAATTGCTTCTTATTACAAACTGTTATCTTAACTGTATCCTGAACTGATATATATTTTTATTGCAGGAGACGTAGTAAAAGAAGATTGTAATGTTCAACGAGTGATATTTGTCAGTGGGAAACATTACTACAATCTTGATAAGCAACGCAAGGCTTTAGATGCAAAAGATGTTGCACTTGTGAGGCTAGAAGGACTTTCACCATTTCCAACACTCAACTTGCAACAAGAAGTAGCAAAATATAAAAATGCTAAAAGTAAGCAGCAGTATCATAATTTGACACGACAGTTTCAGCTTCTGTTGTAGTTTGGCTCTGGCCATTACATTATGCATGGCCATAGGCGCTAGGTCTCGTGGATGTGGTGTCTTAACTCCTGTAGCTGATTTATGTTGTGTTCAGATTATATACAGTGTCTAGTCTTGTGCTGGTTCTGGTATCCAGAGATAGGGACTAACTCTGTTGATTGGGCCCAACTGAGTAGATCTTTAACCTGAGGATGGGGGCAGAGTTCAGTCTCTGAAACGTTGTTTTAAATAAAAAATGGGGTGATGGATAATGTCCAGAAAGTCGTATAATTGTAACGGTATCACAACTACCATGTATGTTATGTAAATAAGACATTACTTTCAATATACCGGTCCTCATTAAAGTGACAGGAATAAAATTCCCCATATGAAGCTGTGATATGGCAGCAAAGAGAAACATCCTACACCTACCAGCAATTAAACTGTTATTGTCTAGTCCTTGGCCTATTATTTTACTGGATTAGCTATCCCACCTCACAAGGTAACAAAATAAAATAAGCCACAGTTTGGTTCTCCATTATTCTGACTTGTGGTTTGCATGTGAATGCCTTGCCGTCTTTCCTTTCAAAATCTGGTTTCCTTAATGTAAACAAATTTAAAATTTAGT